CCGGTTATGTGTGCACAGCTGCAACACATGTCTTGTAATTTAAAAGTCGATGAAAATTTTTCAATTGTTGGAACTTATTATTGCCAAAAGTTAATATCTTTAGTGACTAGGTAAAAATTCCATTTCATCTACGTCATTCGATATTCAAATGTCTAATTATTCAAACGAATATGGCACCAGCTGTCTCTTTCTGGTACACAGGGGTCATGACGTTTCCGTCTTTGTTCAACCAGCGAAACAGATAGCATCTCATTTATGATAAATTGAAAATGTGTTCTTTAATAATACCAACCAAAGGTACGGTCGAGTCGGCGGTGGAACAGTTGAAAATCGGGTTTCTGGCCGCAGCTAACTAGACTTTTAGATCGAATTGTGATTTACATCACAAAGACAAACCTTTTCTTTAATTTCGTGTAATTTCTCAAAACGATCGATAAATTATAACAGTCGAGATTTATTAAAGTCGTCTAGGAATTAGCCCAGAGCAGGTCCGTAACGGTTCCAAAAATTATATTATAATGTATAATTACCTCGCTTTTTTCGCGCTGACGTAGATCGAAAATTACTCACAAAACGAGATAATTTTCTTACATTTCTGTGTTTTTTAACGGTAATCTTAGGAGTGGTTCGCATTTTTCTCGTATAATTATTATATGCTCCGTGTAATTTTCGGTGAATATCAATTTTTTACATCAAGCTTAGGAATTTTTACTTTTATGCTTCGTTTTGATTAAAAATTATTTGTGGAGGAGCTCGAAAAAAAATGAAGTGAGAGACATGCAGTGAGAGTTACGACCCTCTTCTTCGCTTCAAATCCAACAGGCCGTTCACTAAAATTAAATGTCTCGAGCTATATTTAAAAGCATCCAGCAGGTGTTACCGGGAACAATTACGAATTTCTTTAAAAACCATAAACTTAAACTGGCAAATTTAACGTAAAATTAGAAATTTGAGTGTAATTCATCAAAACCTGGTTTTAGTTTAATTTGAACTACCGTTCATGAACTGGCAAATATTTGTTGTTAGAAGTATTTAAAAACGTACAAGAAAAACAATGAAGACATTTTGCTCTACTTTGTTTTCAATTTCAATTTAATCTGGAAACTCCTGGGGAATAAGTGAATGTGACAATTTAGTGAGATTTACCGACTGTATGTACAAACAAAGTTGAACTGACAATTTACCGTTCAACAATTTCATAAACTGGCAATTTTTTCGCAAATTTATGATAAAGCCTTTTTTTAATTATTAATTGAAATTTATTTGAATTTAAACTGTATCAGTTTACGGTTCAATATTTTCATGAACTGGCAAATTCGGTTTATTTTAAGCCAATTTGTTTTTGTTTAATAGAGAGATATAAAAAAAACACACAAGTAAAACAAAAAAAGGACATTTTACACTACTTTATTTTCAATTTGCTGTTCAGTGATTGCATAAAGTGGCAAATTTGACTAAAAAAATAATAAGAAAATTACATCACAATTGGGATTCTATAGTTAAAATTTTGATTTTATTACTTGAATTTGAACTTCAACATTTCAATAAACTCACAAATTTTGACAACACATTTAAGTCGTTTCAGTTTTGTCTAAGAAATTAGCAATGTTTATTTTATACAAAGAATTTAAGTATTTCGGCTGAAAAAAAAACAATTGCAAAGTGGTAAACATTAAAATTTGCAAGGCTTTTTGTTTGTTTGTAAGTAAAAAAATCCTATTGACCATCTGGTTTGCAATTTCTTGTGAAATAGTGTTCGTAATTGATGAAAATGTCTCGATCGGCGAGGGGGCGCATATTTGTGGCCGTCTCGTGTTGTGTTCGTATCGATTAAAAATTAAAAAAAGTAAAAAACTCGTCGACTCGAATAAGAATGCAAAGTCAAATCATTTATCATTGTGTGTGCTGGAAACAAATGAATTTTCCTCGGCCAGCTTTGATTATAAGTGGATAGTGGGAAGGAGACGGCTTACCATCTGAAGGAGATACAAACAGAAGCCTTTCGGTAAAGAAATAAAAGAAAGACTCGGGGGGGCTCGAAATAGAATCGGTCTCTCGATGATTAATATACAAAACACAATACAGTCGCGCGGGGTTAAAAAACACACACCGAAAAAATGTAAAAAAGTTCAAGCCCCAAAAGTACGAGTGTGTGGAAAAAGAAACGAAATTAATGAATAAATAAGCTATTTATTATCGGCCAACGAAATTTAAAACGAATGGTCCGACGTAAACCGTACCATTAATTATAAACCACTTGAAAAAAATTACGATGGGTACACTGTAGGGTTAATTGATGGTATTAAAAATCGTGATTTGGCACTTTGAGAACGCGCCAAATTCAAATTTCCAGTCGTGCCAACCGAATTTTTCTCCCGCATACCCTTTTATTAATATTAATGATTTGAATTGCAGAGTCAACATGAGATTTCAATAAGTAATGCCTGTAATAAGAGATGAAGAATTTATAAAACGCCGTATTGTGTTCGGTACAATATGAATACGAAATTACCTGTTTTCATATTTTTAATATCAAAACACAATTGAATGCTGGCTGTTATGTATGCACGTTCGCTTTTTTGCTTGCTTTACTTAGTCCTTTTATATTTTATTTTCTTCCTTCAGTAAGTACAGTCGCAAACAAAACCAACATTTTTCCAATCATGAATATTAACATCAATGGCGAAAATAATGCAAAAATTCGATTAACGATGTAAATACACGACTGGTGAATCGAATTTTCATAAATGAGTGATTCGTGAATTTTGATGTTTTGGCACATTTAGGAGATGATTTCGTAAACAACGGGGTCGTTAGCACCGATGATTTACATATAGGGAAAATCTAACGGAAAAATTTTACCAAAAATGGGACATTTGTTACATCACGAAGAATTCAAAACAGAAAAAAACCTTCGAAATCGAATTTTTAAATTTTGTTTTGTATTTTTTTACTATTTAAACAGGTAAAGGGTTTTAAAACTGCTGGTTAATTATGTCTAACCACTCAATCACAAAACCCAAATAACAAGGTTTAAATTTAAAAACAGCCTATTAGCATTTTTTAAATAATACTTGGTTTAGAAGCAGAAAATATTTAAGGGAAAAAACTATAAAACTAAAATCTCAACTATAATGTAATTTGTTTGTTACTATAATTTTTTGCTTTTCTTCGATTTTTTAAATATCTCTCTATTAAACAAAAAGAAGTGTGTTTAAAATGAATCGAATTTGCCAGTTCATGAAAGTATTGAACGGTAAACTGATAGTTTAAATCTGTATAAATTTCAATTAATCATTAAAAAACAACATTTATTATAAATTTGCGAAAAAAAAATGCCAGTTTATGAAATTGTTAAACGGTAAATTGTCAGTTCAAGTTTGTTTGTTCAATGGGTAAATTTTAATAAAACGCCACTTTCACTTATTTTCCACCAGTTTACTGATTAAAAGTGATGAAAAATTTTAACTAAAATCTCAATTGAAGTCAATTGTGATGTAATTTGCTCATTACTACAATTTTTTTTAGTCAAATTTGCCAATTTATGCAATTACCGAAAGGTAAATTGTAAACAAAGTTGTACAAAATGTTTTTTTTTGCTTTTCTTGTGTTTTTTAAATATTTCTTCATTAAACAAAAAGAAATTTGCTCTAAATGAACTGATAAATAAATTTCAATTAATAATTAAAAAAAAACACATTTATGATAAATTTGCGAAAACATACCAGTTCATGGCATTGTTAAACGGTAAATTGTTAGTTAAAGTTTCTTTGTTCAGTCGGTAAATCTTAATAAATCACCATTTTCACTTATGTTTCATCAGTTTACAGATAAAAAGTGATGAAAAACTTTAACCAAAATCTCAATTGTGATGTAATTTGCTCATTACTTCAATTTTTTAGTCAAAATACAAATACAGTTCAAAATGTTTTTTTGTTGCTTTTCTTGTGTTTTTTAAATATCTCTCTATTAAACAAAAAGAAATTTGCGTAAAATGAACCGAATTTATCAGTTTATGAAAGTATTGAACGGTAAACTGATAGTTTAAATTTATATAAATTTCAATTAATCATTAAAAAAACAACATTTATCATAAATTTGCGAAAAAAATACCAGTTCATGAAATTGTTAAACGATAAATTGTCAGTTCAAGTTTGTTTGTTCAGACGGTAAATCTTAATAAATCACCACTTTACTTATTTATAACCTGCAGATTAAAAATGATGAAACTAAAATCTCAACTGTAATGTAATTTGCTCGTTAGTACATTTTTTAGTCAAATTTACCAGTTTTTGCAGTTATTGAACGGCAAATTGAAAACAAAGTGGTGCAAAATATTTTTTTGCTTTTCTTATTGTCTATTGTGGGTATATGTTTAAATATATTTTTATTAAACGGAAACAAATTTGCATGAAATGAACCGAATTGGCCAGTTCATGAAAGTACTGAACGGTAAACTTGTAGTTCAAATTCAAATTAAGTTCAATTAATAATTTAACAAAAAACAGTATTTTTTACCATAAGTTTGCGAAAAAATGGACAGTTCATGAAATTGTTAAACGGTAAATTTTTCAGCAGATTAAAACTGAAAAAAATTAAATGTTTATTAAAATTAAACACAATATATAGAGTTGCAAATCATCAAGACCGATTTCCGGCTTGAGCATCGTAAAAATCCTCAAAATCGCTTATAATTGCGCTAAACGATTCTCACAAAGCCATTGTGCATTTGATTAAAAAAAAGCAATCGTCCAATCATCGCCTATCACAACACCCATCTGTCTATTAGGTTACATTACACGATATCTGATTGGCATATACATATAGATAGTTTAATTGTCGACGAAGAGGATCCTCAAGTCCATTGACCCTCACTAATATCTAGTATATGAACACGCATATTTCATCTTATTATAAACACAGCAAGCCATGCATTATTATTATTGACAATTGACAGCCGATCAGCCGATGTATATCTCTTTTTCTTTGAATTGTTGCAGGTAAAATCTTTGAGAATTTTACGCTGAATCCGATGAAAATGGATGTGGGTGAGCCGCCGAGTCAACCACCGACCCCTCCAAGCACGCCACTGTCGCCCAAATCGACGACGGGGGATCATTCAGCCAAATATACCTCAACGAACATCCCCAACATTCCTAATCTCGTTATAACGCACAATTCTAGTCCGAACATACCTCAAAATTTCAGCACACAGCAGAAGACGCCACTCAATTTGGGCGTCAAACCAAAAACCATCACCTACGCCAATGGAGACTACGGCGGCGGCGAGGAGAAGGTGGGAGGGGACACTAAGGGGGCGCAAGCATCGCGGGTAAATTAATTTCGCAAAATTAATTTATCAAATAAATTAAAATCTTGAAAAATTTTGACTTCCGAAATTAAAAATTAGAAATTTTAAATTGTCACTTCCTCTCAAAGTCTTCAAAGATAAACAATGAAATGCATTTTCGTAATTACGGACCGGAAGTGACACCACTCACAAATTACCCGCCACACAATTAAAAAAACATTTAAAAATTGAAATTTTCGAAATTAGATCGTGTTTGGTAATGAATCAGTCTTACACAAGGCGCGTCATTACGTTTCCATTTTCCTGAATTTGTTTGAGATTTCCGCCGAAAAATCACGCTCATTGTTCCCTTCTCCTTAATTACCTTTCACGGTAATTTTGATAACGAGAAAAATTGTGAGAATCGTTACGATTTTATTTCAAGATCCGACTCTTCCTGAGCATAATTAAAACGTAAATTACTCAGTCTTGCGCGCTTTTTTTTCTAACTTTAAATTAAAAGATCAAGTCCGATTTCTCCAACTGTGTCGAAAAAATCTAAACCATGAGAATCAACTTGTGTGTACTTTACATATTTTCACACAAATTTTATAACCTTTTCATTATTTATACTGCGTTTTAGAAGCCATTTCGTCTCTATTGTTTGTTCTCGATTTACTGTTAGGTCTTTCTTTTGATTCTGACACCGCAAATTTGCATTAATTAGTGATTCTAATTGCTGGTAGCAAATTGCATCTAATAACAGTACACGATTTTGAAGAAATTATTTTTTTTCTCTTTGACCCGCAGGGAATCTTTCCGTCGAATATTCTCCCGTTTGCACAACTCAAGACTGATTCGACGAGTCCGCCGCCGTTTGAACAAAATCCTCTCAATGGTAAGTACGCCACTGGGGCGGGTAACAAAAAAAACAGTCAATTTTGACTTTGAATGTCAGATTTTTTACTTTTTATTGATCAAATTTATTTATTTTTTGTATTTTGGAGACAAGTATTATTTTGTTATAATATCTCTTTATTCAGTTAATTTTTTTGGACCGATTTTTTATATTTAAATGTTGAAATGCGATGGTGTTGCTGCCAAAAAGCTCTCATTTTTCAATGTCAAATTTGGGTACAAATAATTTTTGATGAATTTATTTCAACCAAACCTATTTTTTAGATTTTAAAATTAAAATAATTAAAATATTTTTTTTTCTGAAATTGTTCGCAAAGTGGACGAAATAGTTTGTAAAATAACCCAAAATAGTCAGTAAAGCAGTACTTTTCGGACTCATGTCATTACAACATGTCGAAGACGTTCGTAAAGTTGACAAAATAGTCCGTAAAGTGTGCAATGTTGGTTGTTTAATGCATATTCTAAATACTTCAATATTTTATCAAGACTAATGTTTTTTTTTCTTAACTTATTTTTGGTTTACACACCAATTTTTTTTAATCGATTGTATTTTTACGAATGTTTAATTTTTTTGCTAGGAATTGACTCAAATAGCGTTATTATGGCTTAAAATGACGATTTTCAAAGTTGTTTCTGTAAAATCTCCCGATTTTGAGATTTCTGTCTATGCAAGAAATTTCAAATTTGTCTTAAACACATCTTTTCTATGATTTTACTTTTTTTATCTGATCAAACAGACTATCTACAAAATTTTATAAAAAAAATACTGTTTGCAATACTGAAAACAGGGGCAGAAGATGTTCATTTTCATATCTTCTCTTCCTATTTTTCAATATTGCCAACAGTATTTTATTTAATTTTTTTTAAATTTTGTAAATAGTCTTGTAAAAAGTCTTCGGCCTCTGTTGCCAATTTCAGTCCCAGACTATTTTAATCGAAAATTTAATGTTTAATTTTTACAACTTGCTTGACGATTGGTAAAAAAATGAGAATATTTTGTTATTTTTGTATAAGACAAATGTGTTTATTCAACTGGTTTTGTTCAATTATGCTTTTTTATCAAATAATTGCATTATTTGAAGAGATTTTGATAAAATCATTAAAAAAATTGCACGTAAAGAAAGAAGCTTTAAACGTGTTATTTTGCGTTGTTTCGGTTGATTTAGCTCACTTTTTACTGAATGTGGCTTATTTTAATTTAATTTTTTTTTCTACCAATTTTTATTTAATACAAATCACAGTAGGAGTTGGTAACTTGATAATTGCGAAATTTGATTGGTTTATAGGAGCAGTATTGCTTAATTTATTCAAAAATTGGATGTAACACAGACATTTATCATTTTTCAAAGCAAATTTTCGTTCCAATTCGGAGCATCTGATGTGGTTCGATTTTGCTCTTTGGTTTGGAAAATGTCAGATACTCTGGCAGCGTTTTCCCGGATTTTAATTAGCTTCTCGCCGCATTCAAATTCTAATTAAAGAGCATAATGCAAGTTTATCCGAAGCCAAGCTTGAGGATTTTTAAATTTCAAATGCCAAATTTTTGGCTGACGCGGCGTCGACTCGAAATTCTATTTGAGCAAAAATTTTCTAGTCGCGTTTTCGGTTTTAAAATAGATTTTATCCCAGTTAATTACCGACGAGATATACCTCTGTCTCTCTTTTTCGGGAACGCATTGTGCAAGTCGGCTGGGTGAATCATTTGTTTCCACGGCACGCTTTATGTAAGGCCGGGAATTGTGTTTTTTTCACTCCTCTCTCTCTCTCTCTCTCTCTTTCTCTCCCGATGACAACACGGCCAACTGTGATATACACAAATTGCCTTAAATTGACTGTGACAGATTTAATTCCGTTTCACATCCACTTGAGTTTTATTAGTTGAGGAAAAATTCAGCTCGGTATTGGTTTTCGGCTTCAAGTTGGCGTGATTTTTAGCTTGTTTTCGATGACGTTTCAAGGCTTGTGCGATTTTTCGATTGAATTATCGACGATCATGGGAGGAATGTGATTTCGAGCGTTTGATTAAATCATATTGAAATAATTAATTGCCAAATTACCCAAAAATATGTTCACTGGGTCAGGTCAAGCCTAACTAGATGACCATCATTATTGCATAAAATACCAACTTCCTGTTAATCAAGTCGCGTGGTCCCAGAACTTGACCATAATAAAAAAAATACACAAAAGGGACAACTTTGTGTTATTATTATAGTGGTAACATTAATGACGATGTTTCAGGTAATTAATTACAATTTATACATCGAATTTTTTTTAATTCAGGTAGTAAAATATGTGTAAGTACTTGGTAATAATAATTGTGTTGGGACGTAATTGCTATGAAGATGAGTATTTTGTCGTAAAATTTTACAATGACGTTCCATGTGTGTAATAAAATGTTAAGTTTGAAAAAAGTTAACTTTCTTCTTGTTTTTTTTTGACACTTTCTCTCATTGTCTTTTCTAGAAAGTTATTGTTCCACTTCTCACTCTGAAAATTCGTACTCGTTAAAAAAATTTGGTAGCTCCGCCCATATTCTGTAATTTAAAACTAGCACCACCCACCACGCTATCAGCTCCGCCTCCACAAATTCGTACTTGTGTTATAACAAGCAAAAACTTGTTTGTAATTGCATAATTTTAATTCATTTACCACACACAAAAAAGGGGGAAAAGTTTACAATAAAATAAAACGTGGCTTTTAATTAGAAGAATTAGATTTAATTTAATTAAGAAAAATACAAAATGCACATTTGCAAAGTGAAAAAAAACTGTTTAAGAAACTAAATAAATTTGGCAGATTTCATTAAAAAAATGCTAAAATCAAGTTAAAAAAGTTCTAAATCACAAACTTTTTAATTCGTTTAACTTTTGTATGTTATTTTTTAAAAACACATTAATTTTCAATGCCTGATCAAAAAACAAACAATAAAAATTATAAAAGTGCAATAAAACAGAAACAAATCATAGTAAATTTGGATTTGAAAAAATTCCACTTGTTTTAATCTTTATTATGTTACACAATTTATTAATTTAATTTTAATTTAAAAATAATAATAATAATAGTTTGTTTTACTAGAAAAAACAAAATGGCAGCCTTGGCTTCGCCTCGGCTGCTCTTTCAAATTCAATATAATTACAGATTCTCAAAAACTACTTAAAATTTAAATTTTGAAAGTTTCTGGTTTTAATTTAATAACGAGTTTAATAATGTTTTAATTTGTTTAATTGTTTCTATTTATTTTCTATAAAATAACATTAATTTGTAAGTCTTGGTCATAAAAAGGAAACAATAAACATTCAAAAACTAGAACCACCCTGTATATTGATTATTTCAGGGATAATCGTCGATAATTCAGTTATTTTTGTTACCTAAAAAACCACAAACAAATTTTTTTGTTAAAGCTGACACCACCCACCAAGCTACCAGCTCCGCCCCCACAAATTCGTACTTTAAATTATAACAAACAAAAGCGTCTTTCTAATTGCATAATTTGAACTCATTCTAACAAATTATTTAAACAAAAATCTTTCTTAACTTTTTAGTATTTATAAACGTAAGATATAATTTTTTGTAAAAATTACGTAGATACAACTTTTTCTTTACAGCTCATCATAATTTTGGCTTCACCTACAAATTCCGAATTATTTAATATCTAGTGTAAACATCAAGTTAAATTTTGATTTATTAATTTAGTACAATTTAGAGGGTTATACTCCGCCCCAAGTTACTGACTCCGCCCTCGAAAATTTTTACTTTTTAGCAGCTTTTTTTTATTGCAAGCTTAAAATATTGTAGTATTTTTATTTTTATCTAATTTAATGTCGGGTTTTAAAGAAAAATAGGCATATTTTGAAGAATTTCGAATGTTTCGGTTAAAATCGTGCGTTTTAAACACGACCCCATGCATATTTAGCACGTCCGAAGGCGCGAGTTTTATTACATTCAGACTGTTGCATATAGTCTGTAGATTGACGGGGTGACGGTTTCTCGGAAGGTTCTTTTCCTCTGAAACGTCGGTAATAAAGGATTAAAAGCTCGTGAAAACGTGTAGAGTTGTATAAAAGCGTTTCGCTTCGGCCGCAAAAATACGATTTTACGTTCAGTCTATGCATCTTTTCTCTCTTCGCCACTATAATGTCTCTCGTGTATCATAAAATGATCATTATACACGGATCCGAACATAAACTTACAATGTATTTGTATAGAGAATTAAGTTTTATTGCATATTTATTTATATTTATTTAGTGTTGCTTTGAATCGTAAATTACAATTACCAACAACACGCTGGTGATGGTCCATTTGCAGGCGATATCGTTTTATATACTCGCGGGCAAAAATCGAAATTCCCGCCCAAACTAGAGGCGCGCCTCGAGGGTAAAGTTTGAATAAAAAAAAAAATAGTAATGACAAATTTCTATCGGGCACCCGAACAGGTGTCCAGGGTTGTAATTGTGGTCGTTCCGGCCCTGGCGCCCCTATACAACCTCAATTAATCCATTCGTCCATAAATTAAAGCTCGTTTTTTATTCTCCACCCGAAATTTCTTTTGATAATATTCATTTCTTGTAATTATTCTGGAACCATCTGTTCGTATCACACTGAGTTTTTAATTTTTGGTATTTCCTTCTTCTCTAATTATAGTAATTTTTTGCCTGTTATTTCGGAGGTCAAGTTTGGTATTTACAAAAATTTGACAGCTCCGGAATTTATAATTTCGTGTGCGTTGTATTCGATTCTAATCCGGTCGTCGACGTGTAGAAAAACTAATTTTGAATATCCTCCACATTCACAATATAACTTCAATAAAGAGCTATAAAAATAAATACGATCACAAGACCGGTCCTCAAGTTCTCTCCATTACGGTCGAAAGTCGCTCGAAAGCTATTAAAGACTCCGACTTAAAATTCAATAAGGAATAAATAAAAAAAATTTCATATGAAATATGATTTCACATTTTTTATAGTATGGGTTGTGTGTCGAACCGAGCGGCACATCGCATCGCCCCGAAAAAGGAAACACTAAATCAGCAGTACATTATTTCTGTCCCATTCTATTTGTAAATAAAGCATAATCACTACAATTGAGTCAATGAAAATCTCCACAGCCTGTCTCACGACAATTGAACGCCAATTTAACCAATTTAAAGCTTTTTATTATTCATAAAATTTCATAAACCAACTAGGCGAGTTTGTAATGGAGTTTGTTTGTTCTTGGGACGTCATTGTTACCGACTTTAATTGAATAAATGCCATCAACTGGACCCATCTCTACACACGTAGACAACAAAAGTTGATCTCTGATATGATATTGCGATTGACGGATTTGACAATTAATTTGGTGAAAGTTTCGTTTTTGCATGGGTGTGGGTACACTATTCGAAAAAATTGCGTTATGAAATTGGTATTAATTGGAAGGATTTTTTCTGATCGGTGCCAAGATAACAATTAACTTAATTAAGAAATTGGGAGCGTCACTCCATTTGTACAACAAATTTATACAGTTTTTGTTACCACACACAAAATAATAGGAAAAAAAAATACAATAGAATAAAACGTGATGGCTTTTAATTAGAAAAGTTTTATTTGCGGATTTAATTCAGAAAAATACAAAATTGCGGCCTCGGCTGCGAATTCACATTTGGCAGGTTAAATAATTAATCACTAAATAAATTTTGCAAAAAATGCCAAAGTCGAATTAAATAGGTTATAAAGAAAAAACTTTTCAATCCGTTTAACTTTTTTATATTATTTTCTAAAAAATCACATTTATGTGGCTTATCAAAAAAACATATGAAAAAATCATAAAACAGAAATTAAATACAAGGTTTCCTCCAAAACACAGAATAAATTTGGATTTGAAAAAATATCTTGTGTTTTAATTTTTAGTCAAAAAAATTTAATAAATTGTTTTGCAAAAATTGATTATTTGTTACACAATTTATTAATTTAGCAATAGTTTGTTTTACTAAGTACAAAATAGCAGCCTTTTTTATTTGAAATGTAAATAAATTAAAAACTTTTTGATTCGTTTAACTTTTTTTATACCGGGTGCGCCAGAATTCGCGCCCCAAAAAAATTGCCATGTATGGAAGGGTACCAGGAAAATGAAAAAAATGTTGAAAAAATTCTATCTATAAAAATTTCGAAGTTATGAGAGTTTAAATTTTGCATTTTGACTCTATTTATTTATGTTGTAAAAATAATTTTTTGTATCCTAAATTGTAACTCTGTTTAATGTTATTTGTGGGTTTTATTGGCAAAATGTTTGTACCTTTACTAAATAGTTATAAAAAAATATATACAAGATCATCAGTATTATTAAATAGACATGAAAAAATCTCATGTCAAAAATTAAATGTCAAAATTTTTTGACAGATAGAATTTTTTAAACATTTTTTCTCATCTGGGGCGCGAGTTCTGTCACCCTGTATAATTTTAATTTAATAATAGTTTATTTTACTAGGAAAACACAAAATTATTTCAAATTGTATTATTTGATATGTGTATCTAGTCTCAAAAAATAATTTTAATTTTTTTTTAAATGAAGCTAAAAAGTCGAATTTGGGAAATTTCTGATTTTACTTTTATAACTTTTTTTTAACTTTTTTTATTTCTTTTTTATAATATAACACTGATTTGTAAAACCTGGCCAAAAAGGAGACAACAAAGATTTAAATACCTACTGGAAGAAAAAACGCGATGTTTCCAAAATATTAAATTTAAAAATAGTATTTTTTTACCTGTTGGTTTTAGTTTATTCTGCATATTTGGGGGATAAACTTGATCCATCCTGTATAATGATTATTTCAGGGCTAATCGTCGGTAATAGTTATTTTTGTTACCTAAAAAAAATTTTAGGTACGTATTACAAACAACATTTTTTTGTTAAAGCTCTCATAAACACATTCAAACCTCTGATTATGTATTGATTAATTTCTCAAAAACCGTGGTTAAAAATAAAAATAGTATCCAAAATAGTTGTTTTAAGTACTAGTACCTAAAATAACTATTTTTGGGAGCGTATACAAAAAATAAGTACTTCTAATTATTTTTTTAATAACTTGTAAAAAGAATTTAATTATTTGATTTGAATTTTTTTTTAATAAGATTAATTATGTTTTATTGTGTTATAATTATTCCTGAAAAAATATTTTTCTGACTTAATTCTTGGTCAAAAAATGATTAAAAAATCAATTAAAAAGTGATATTATTTCTAAAACTTTAAATTAAATTGTTGTGACAAAAAGTCTATTGGCAACACTGAATTTGGCAGCGGTCGCCCCTTTTTGAATTTCCAAGTCGTTGAATTGATAATTTTTTTGTTTTTTCTCGCCCCGAATCCGGAAAAATGCTTATAAATCGTTACAAAAATAGAAACCAGATCTATGTGAGCGCTTTTAATATTTTACGATCATTCCTGATGTTTCTGTTAATACTCAAAACACATTCGAAATAAAAAAAGATAAATTCAATAGCAGACATCCGTTGTAGGTTTTTTACGCGTCCGTCGTTAATTACTCCCTGAAAAAAAATCCACAAAAATAACCGACAAAGAGTTTTTGATAGAAAAATCGGTAGCGTAAAGCCTGCCATTCACCCTTTCAACCCCTTTTTTTAATCGGAATTATAAGGGTGCCCCCATATTTAAAATAGTCCTTCTAAATGTAAAATCTAGTTTTTTAAAGAGCAGCCGTCCATATCCAACACTCGACGAGATTTAATCGCTGTACTACCATCGATGGGTCGGTCGGGTGTATAATTCCCCAGTAGACCAACGCAAAGGGTCATAGGCAATAAAAAACCCACGAAAATACGACTCAAATGGTCGAATCCACGCAATGAAAGGGTTGAAGATAAATACTCTGTTTTTTCATTGTGAGACTACCCCGATTTTCGAAATTCTATACCTTTTTATTTTGGCTCGTTTTTTATTGTATTTAAATTAAACACGTGTGTGCAAACTCGAGCCGGATTAAAATAACGGAAAAATTTCCAACGAATTCACTCAAAACTCTCTCGAGTTTTATTGTCGAGTGCTAATTGAAATGCGACATGCTTTCGAATGTAATATCTGGATTTGAAATAGAGAGAAAAAAACCAAAGAGACTTCAAAACACTTGTCCAAACAAAACGCGACTCCGACTCGAATTTTGACCCTTTAGAAAAACATCTGCTGATTACGTCACTGTTCATAATTGAGGATTTTGTTTTTCAGCCATGATGGCACAGTCTTTACAACCGACGTCTCGCGACGCCGTCCCGACGCCCAACCTCCTCCTCAACAAGCCCACCACCCAACTTGACTACTCCAAATACGTGAAAAAATTCTCTTCGTCCCTCGAATGCGGAAGCTCCTACTGCAAGGACCTCAACTATAGGTCTGTTTTTTCAAATTTTTATCGATTTTGTTTTTAATACAATCAATTCCAGAGAGCATTTCCACTGTTTGGACTGCAACTCGCGTGTTTTTATCAAAAAAGAAGAAATGATTCGACATTTTAAATGGCATAAGAAACGCGATGAGTCCCTCCAACACGGTTTTATGCGGTATAGTCCTTTGGATGATTGCAGTGACCGTTTCGGGAATTGTACACACAATAAGAAGCAAACCCATTATCATTGCATCAAGGAAGGCTGTGATAAAGTGTATATATCGACGTCAGACGTCCAAATGCATGCGAATTACCATCGAAAGGATTCGGCGATTATTCAAGAGGGGTTCCAGAGGTATAGGGCGACGGAGGAGTGTGGGGCCTCATATTGCGCCTTCTTCGGACAAAGAACGACGCATTTTCATTGCCGGAGGACGGGGTGCAGGTTCACCTTCAAGAACAAATCCGACATGGGTCAGTAAACACTTTTTTATTGCCTTAGTCTGTGATTTTGATTTTAAGTTGGCAACACTGAATAATGTAGCTAAAGAATATGTGATTGACATTTGTTTTAAACTTTTTAATAACAATTTAATAATTTATTTTACTTCAAACATTTCAATTTGCCGAGGCTCCCAATACAATTTCTACTATTTAATATACTTAACTATAGTTTCTCAAAAAAAAAAGACTAAAAACTGCTAAACAAAATCGCCTATAATTGGAAGATTATGTTGACAACATTGAATTACACAGCGAAATCCGTGTTTTTTGAAGACAAAAAGTTGTGAAACTTGTTTTTCTAAGTTATAACTACATTTATTCACAATCACCAATGTACTTAATATGCCGATTACCAACTTTTTAAAGGCTGTGAAACACTCCTTTCATGAGGTGTAATAATATTACTTCTTTTGGGCCGTAATATGCAGGAGAGCCAACGTTAGAATTAAAAAAATACCGGGAATTTTTTCTTTCAAATTGTCAAGTTGCGCATAATATTTTGCTAAATTAGTATTCAATTGCTTCTGTAGCAGTTTTTCTTACTTTTGGGAGCGCACTACTCCATTTCAACAATTTTAATATCATTATTTCAATATTTTTCTTGACATTTCTGAAATGTCAAAAATCAAACGCAATTTAGATGGCCTACCACGTTTGAACCTTAACTTTGTTAGAATTTTATTTTATTCAAATTTTTGACTAAAAATAATGTCATTTTATGAATAAAATAGCATACAAACCTCGGTGGTAATGGCATTACCCCTTGTGCTTTATTTTACATATAAGCACTCGGGGTAATGCCATATTTACCGCCTCGCTTGTAATGTACTATTTCTAAAAAAATTGAATAGTTTTTTTTAAGAATTTAATAATTTAAATTGTATAATTTGTAATTTGTTTTACTGGAAAAATTCTTTAAATCTTTAGCCTTTCAAAGAAAAAAAGAAAAACTGTTAAATGAACACCAAATAAATAATTAAAAAGAAGCTATAAAATTAAATTAAAAAGGACATTTATTTGTATTAATAATTTAAAACTTAATTAAATTTCTAATCACAGTAGTTAACGACTCTGAAATTAAGTTGGTAACACTAAACACTGTAGCGATAAATAATTGCGATCAAAAATGTTTTTAATTTTAAAAAGGTTTACAAAAATTTATTTTGTACATTATTTTTAAAAAGAATTTAATAATTTTAATCAAACCTTATAATAATTAGTTTTACTAAAAAAATACAAAATTGCAATCTTGGCTACGCCTCGACTGCGACTTCACAATTTTCATTTTTTATTTTTACAGCCTTTAAAACCTGTTTTTTTAAGAAACTGAAAAATCAAATTTTTATAGAGATTTTAAATAAAGCAAATTTTTTTTCTTTATCAGCTTAAAATTTATAACTTTTGACAGAGAATGTCTTTGCGTTTAATTAAATTTCTAATTAAAGTAACCTAAGATTCTGAAATTAAGTTGCCAACATTGAATGCTGTAGCGACAAAAAATTGAGATTAAAAATGTACATACAGGATGTTTCACGTAATTTTACGAGGCCTGCGCCTGTAAGATGCAATCAATGATACATACATATTCCGATACGAACTCGATTACAAATTTTGAAAAATTGGATAACCTTCTCTAGTTTGTTCGCCCTTTAAAAAATTACAACGTTTTTAGTTAGTTAGTGATGAAGATAGATAAACTACAATCATATTCATGCCGTCTCTTGATAGAACGAATGATAATTGTTTCTGAAAAACTGCAGTTTATGACTATTAATGAAACAGTGATTAGTTTGGGTTTCCAAAAATTAAATAATTAAATTTGTATTTTTTATATCCAGTGTTCTGTGACTTTTGTATATTTGGTTGCGTACATTAGGCGCAAGCCTCGTAAAGTTACGTGAAACACCCTGTATTTTTGATAAGAATTTAATTTAAATTTATTAATAATTTAAAATGCAGTCTCGGCTACGCCTCGGCTGCGAATTAAAAAAAACTGAAACTGTCAAATGAAAGTCAGTTTTAATAATGGTTCTAAAAAATGCAAATTAATTTTTGTTATCAATCCAAAATATAATTTTTATCAGATTATTTTCGTCTTTGATTAAATTTCTAATCATAGAGGTTTATGATTTTAAATATTAAGTTGACAACATTGAATAATATGGCGAGTAGCAGCAAAGCATATAAGATGTATCAATTTTGATATCTTTTACCTTTTTTTTATTCACTGTTGTCAACTTATTTCAGAATAATGTGCACATGTTTGAAGCGCTGAGGCGACATCTTTTAAGACTTATTGGGTTTGTTAGTATTTAGAAAAATCAAAAGATTTAGAGTAACGATAAAAAACTCTTTTGCTTTTATTATACTCTTTTTCTTTGTTATGTTCTGTTTTTTATCTGTTTTTATGCGCTCTCTCTCTCTTTCCCTCTTTTTTTTCCTATGCGTTCTCCGCGCTCTCTTTCCCTTTCTTTATCAATTATTTGCTCTTATGCATTTTACGCGTTCTCTTTTTCTCTTATTATACTTATTCGAACATGTGCACATGATCGATTTTCGGCACTTTTAATTGTCCTCTGCACTTAACAACTTACTTACTACACAACGTATTGTTATACTATTGAAACTAAAAAAAGTTTTTTCTACATTTGTTGTGGACAGTATTTTGAAATGAAGTATTTTTGCAGAAAAGCACAAATCGTACCACATCAAAGACGAGCAGCTCTCCCGCGACGGCTTCAAAAAATTCATGAAGAACGAAGTATGTCCTTTCGAAAAATGTCGTTTCTCGAAAGTCTGCAACCACATCCACTGTATTCGCCCTCAATGCAGCTACGTTTTGCACAGTTCCGGTCAACTCTTCTCCCACAAGCGAAAACACGAACGCAAAGACTCGGAATTGGCCTACAGAAAGTACAAATTGGCTCAAAGCATGATGAAGAGTCTCCAAGACGGCTCTTTAACCCCATCTTTTGCACGCGACTACGAACAACAACTCGAAGGCTTAAATCTCTCGATGTTCAGCCAAAACAGTAGCACATCAAACGTATCGGAAACGCTCAGCGAACGCAATTCGCCTGTGAGCTACAACGAAGAAAGCGAATCAGCGATTGATTTAACAGCTGGTGATTCAACTTTCGAAGAAACGAATTGGAATAGTGAAGATTTCTGGAAGAAATACTGCCAGTTTGTCAGTCAACAAGACAGTTGTAGCGAAAAATGCGATTTTAACTATTCGGATCACTATCATTGTGTTGTGGAAAACTGTGAGATGGTTTTTAATGCGAAAGATGGGGTGCGTGAACATGCACGCAATCATGAACAACAAGAAATCGTCACAGAGAATTACTACACAAGTGGGGGCTGCGATGATGGTTGTATTTACCAGGACAAGGAGAAACACTACCATTGCAATTGGGTATGTCCGAAAATGGGTTAGTGGGGTGATTTTCAACCACGATTTTTAGGATAACTGTCGAGAAGTGATTTTACCAAGTGATAAGCCCTTTAGACGATTGGAACATTACAAAATGCACGAGTATTCAAGAAAATTAAGCTTGACGAAAGACCCATTGACCATGACCCATCTAGCCACTTCCATTGACGGCATGTTTTGCAGGAAGAGGGGTAGGCCGCCTAAAAATCGGGTCATTGAAGTATGGAACGACTATGTAAGTTTTTTGATCAAAAAATAATAACAATTTTAACAATTGTGTTATTTTAGTCACCAGTGGGAAGCCAAAGTTTGTTGGACTCCCCCCAGGCCATTTTCACGAGTTTCAAGCTCCCGAAACCGTCCGCTACTCCTTGTAACAGCAAAGAGGCGGAACAACAAGACTCGAGTGATGACCGTTCGAGCACCCCCAGCCCCAATATGCAAGACTTCGGTCTTCAAGGTTTCGATATTTTCAAAGAAAACACCAAATGCACCGACAGTTTGTGTCCTTACTTGGGTTCTACTCATTTTCATTGCAACCAAAATCGTTGTCTTTATGTGACTGACAAAGAGGACGTTTTGATAATGCACAGTAAGGATTTCCACGACAATGTTGAAATCCTTGATGGTTTTGAATTTTACGACCGAAACATTGATTGTCGTCTATCTGATTGTCCGAGTAACAAAATTAATCGACATTTTCATTGCACACGCCCGAATTGCAACTATTCGTTTGTGCAATATTCAACTATGGCCCAACATAATCAGAAACATGTCGACGACGAAGCGACGAGTGTTGAAATTAAAACGGAAATGTGTGAAAATTCCGACTCGAAAGCGATGAATCTCAGTCAGAATTCAGAAAATAAAGTTTCAGGTGAGTGTCGAGTCGTGTGTGTGTTTTTTTTGTGTTTGTAGTTTTGGTGTATATAGCGACTATCTTTATTTCTAGTGGTGAAGGCTTCAGGAACTTTCTTTCCTCTTTCTACATTGCCAACTGAACGAAAGTCACCAGAAATTTCTAAAATGTTACCAACAGGTACGACACGTACTAACACCAAAAGTACGCGATTTCAGCTCAATAAAACCAAGTTTATTTTACGCGAGTGGCTTTATAGAGCTGAAATGCACACTATTTTGCTCGGTACTAATCGTTGGCCTTCTTTTTCTCTCTCTTTCTTATGTTGGGTAGATGGAAATTTTACAGAAACCTGTAATCATGAACCACAAACAGCAAAAAATTGCCTTTAAAACAAGCAGAAATACTATTTCATGAATTAAAATAAATCTAATTTTGATATTTTTTTCTTAATAGACACCTTTCTTTTTATTTGTTATGTTTTTTTCTAATTTCTTTAGACGAAAATTTTACAGTAATCTGTAATCAAGGACCACAAACGGCAGTTTGTTTATTCACACTATCTCAATAATGAAAACTAATCAAATTTTGATCATTTTTTATTGTCAAGCAATTGGCCTTATCTTTATTTTTTTATTGTTTTTATATTTTTGTTTAGATGTAATTTTACAGAAAGCTGTAGCAAGAATCACAAACGGCAGTTTGTGCATTTATTCTTAAAAAAGTGTTTTTAAAACAAGATAAAATCTTATTTTAATGGTGAAAATTAGTCACATTTTGATCACTTTTTATTGTCAAGCAATTGCCTTCTTTTTATTTGTTGTTTGTTTTTTTTTAAATCTATATTCGTTTAGACAAAAAAAATATAGAACCCTGTAATTAAAAACCACAAACGTCAGTTTGTTCATTTAGAAAATGAAACTTGACCGCATAACTGAAAATTTGGTGATTTTAATCAATTTGTCAATTGCCTTTTTCTTTGTTTATTAGAGTTTTTTTTGTTTCTATACCTATTTGTTTAGATGAAAATTTTACAGAAACCTGTAATCAAGACACCGGAAACGGCAGTAGTACCCTCTACGGCCCGGAATTGAGTTGTTCACGACCGTTTTGTAAGCTGAAACGCAAGTACCACTACCATTGCAATGCTTGCAACCAGGTAAATCCCCTAAATTTTCATCAACTTTCTTAATTGATTTTTTTTTCATAGGCTTTTTCCGAAATGGACCGTCTGGTCGTCCACGTGGCCAAACACAGCACCGGTGCTTTGAATAGTCAACACCAAGAAGACAACAACAACCAACAAACACCCTCTACATCAACTCCTAACAAAACCGAAGTGAAAATCAATGTAGCCCCTTTACAAAGTCTCCAAAACCCAGTAATGGTCAAACCCGAGCATGAAACACCTTACTTGACCCCAACTTTTGACGCTTACAACCACTTTTCAAATTTCCCGGCGAATTTGGCCACTCAATTTGCCCTAATGTCACAACAACAGAGCATGCAAAATGCCTTCCTGCCTCAAGGATTGTACCAAAACGCGGGGATTCCCACTCAATTGATGTTCCAACACTCGCAATTGATGCAAAGCCCGTTATTAGGGGGACCCCAACACGGCTACCAAAGTGACAACATGACAAGTCCGTTGGCAGCAATGGCGGCCAATTTGAATAAAAGGGCACTGAGCCCTCATCATGAAATCACACCCGAACAAAAAAAAGCTAGAATACAAAACTCGATGAGGATTCTAAAGGACGAACCCGTACCGGAGGGGTATTTACGGTTCAGGTCGGTAAAACAGGTTTCTAGATAAATCAATTTAGTTAAGGAGGAATTACAGGTTTAATGAGGATTGTCAGTACCAACATTGCGGATATAGAGAACACCAAACACACTTCCATTGTCAAAGACAGGACTGTGGGTATAGTTTTTGCGACAAAACGAGATTTGTGCAACATACAGCGAGACATGAACGCTTGGATACGCTCATGGGGGGCGATTTCCAACAGTATAGAGCTAATGTCGCTTGTGGAAGGGGCGACTGCGCCTACACCAACAATTTAGGTCAGTGTTGCAAACTGTTTAAAAACAATTAGCTCTATATTTTTGGTTTAGGTTCGACCCAGAACAAGGCATCGCATTTCCATTGTCTCAAGTGCGATTTTGTTTGCACCGACACCAACAAGGTGGTGGCACACCGACGTCAGCACCAGAAATTGGATTCGATCCAGGCGGCCGGTTTCGAGAAGTTTACCCCCAGTCAACATTGTCGTGTCCCCAATTGTCAACACAGTGGGAAACAAACGCATTATCATTGTCTTTCGTGTCAATACGCCGTTCTTGGATTGGCCCAAATGTCCGCACACAAGTACCGACACCTCGAAGGTTGATTATTTTGCTCAACAATTGTAAATATGTACAGACTCGCCTGTATACAGTTTGTAAATAGGGTACAAGAAGGAACTCACCTCGACTATCAAATACCGGGGCTGTCCCGAACCCGTCTAATTTATTTATCGACTGAGTCGTCGTCTGACTGAAAGTCGGAGGATTATTATTCTGTATCGGATTGTAGAAGTTTTCCAAGTATTATCGTAGGGAACAATTGTAAATTGGAAAAAGACATAGTATTTTTAGGTGTAGTTTAGAGGCCTTTTTTTCATGGAAAAATTCTAGATTAGTGCCTTAGAAAAAAGACATATAATTTTGGTGCCTTCTCGGGTACTTTGGGTAGAGAGACGAACAAAATTCAGGTGTACCGAACAATAAGCAAGTAATTCATTCCATAAGTGCCATATTGTAACAAATTATTTAAAACAAGTAGATTTTTGCAAATTAACGCTAGGTAGGTTAACGAGGTGTCATATCTTATATCATTTTTTTGCATGCTCAAAACTTATTTATTTCACATTTTTGTGATTCCAAGTGAATTTTTTGCCATATAGCTTCCCAACCAACCGACAAATCGGTCCTTTTATCTCTTCCTTTCTCTCCTTTTTTCGTTCATAGCTAGTCTATTCCTGCTTTATCTGTTTCGTTTTTTCTCAAATATTAGCTATACGTATTATACAATCATAAAAATGATTTTAAGCGTCGACTATAGTCGAACTGTATTTTAATTGAGTTAAGCAAGTTAATTCGTATGTATGATTTTTGTATGAGTGTAATTATGTTATTTTCTGTGATTGTATGTGTTGTTTTTTTTAAAAAAAGATCAGTATTTATATCACAAATGGTTTCAATCACACCTTACACACTCCTACATAAGTGTCGCTAATGCAGGAAACTATAATCCTGGGTATCCCCGATTGACAATCAAGTGTTTTAAAGTGTCACTCAATGTCATTTCCACTTTTTTTCTTGATTTTATTTTTATTTAAAAGTGCAACCCCGTCTGATTTAAATGTCGGAACGACTTTGTTTACGAAAGCTGACCGGGCAAAGGAGTGTTGGTCGTCGGAAAATGTGGCCCTACTGTCATCCCGAATGATCCTCGAGGATCTCTTACCGAGTACCTCAATCCTTGTTATCGATTCGAACGAATTTGTCACCGATTTGGTCGAATATTTTCGCCTGATTCTCGAAATTGTCCGCAAAGAAACCCACGGCAAAACTAAGCATATTACGTTGTTAGCCTTGACGGATTTGTTGGGTACAGGGCTGTGCCCCTTTAGTGTAATCTAAGTGTTCTTTTTAGGGGGTTATTTGCACCATGCCGTTCTCCCGATTTCCAAATACGCGTATTATGCCGGTTTGATCGATTATGACAGTATGGCCACGCTTTTGGGGCTATTTGATGAACTTAAGTGGTTTTTGCGGACTAATGGACAAGGCTGGGCCAAACCCTTGCCGCAAAACCGTAAGTATTAGGAGAATTTTCTCAGTTGGTACCCCTGTCACGTTTCCCTCTAGTTGAGAATTTCGAAATCCGGCTCATCCCCTTGCAATCCCCCATCCAACATAAAGACGATTGTGACAATTTGATGTTTGTGCAAGGTGACCAACCTCAAAACACTGAAAAATCGGGATCGGGGCATTGTGATGCCACCATCCCTATACCCTTTTTCGATTCAAACACACGCCCAAGTGCTATAGCCCTCCCGACTAAATCCTGCCCTTTGCAAAACGTCGAAGCCAACACGTCTAGTTACCTCGTAATGAAATTCTTCGTGACGTCATACAAGTGTCTCCAATTGAAAAACGCCAAAACGGAAAATATCGATAAGTTTCAGTGTGATTTCGTGCACTGGATCGACGAACAAATAATGCCGCGACTTGCCGATGAGAAATTTTACGCGGCTTTTGGGGGAATCCTCCGTGTGAGGAACACACTGAAAAGGCTAGGTAAAGCGCGCGAAATTTGATTTTGTCACCATTTTGTCGTTTTAGGTGTGAGTTCAGGCACAGCCGAGAAACAAATCGATGATTTTCGACGTGTTATCGAAGAGGCACAAAAACCAACACAAAATGGAGGACGACAACAAATGAGCAGAGCCGCCATGATACTCACGGCTGTCTTGATCACGATTTTTGTATGGTTTTTACTAGGAACAATGTTCATTTGTTACAAGATGCGCCAATCAAAACGTATTTTTTTGGGTGGGAAATTTAATTTTTGTTTATTTAAATTTGTAGCTTGTTCACCGGAAGGTGGTAGTAAGACGACAACATGTTCGTCACTTACTTCAAGTAAATATTTCTATCCGGAAAAATTGAGTTCGTCGAGTACTAAACGAGGTATGATTTATGATTTTTGGGGAAACCCCCCATTGTGAGATTTGTGTAAGGTGGCCGCCAACAAATCGTGATTACGAGTTGTCGATGCAAGGATGACAATGACGAGGACGAAGACGAGGATTATACCACAAATAGTGGCACTGTTAATGATTCGACACGAACCGATGGAAAATTAACATCAATTACGGAAAAATCAGAACCCTCGTCGAAATCAACTATTTCACCGACTCCATCACTTCCATCGAAAGCGAATGATGAAAATTCAAAACCAAAAAATCTCGCCAAAAATGATGCTCCAAAGAGGTAATCAAGGTTTCTGTATTATCGACTACTAATTTTGGATTTAGAAAGGGTAAAGTACAGAGGCAAGTGTACATGGATTCGGATTCGGACTCAGATTCGCCCGGAAAGACATGATCTATTTTTTATTGTACATATTTTATTAAAGTTTTATTTTTACACAACATTACAGTTTTCTTTGTTTTGTTAAGGTAGAACCATAAATATTTAAATTAATAAAATCCTTCCTATCCTGTTTCTTATGCCACTTTCTCAAAGAATTGTAATTGGTTTTTTATTATTTTTATCTAAAATAACAAATATTTAAATGTTTTAACACGACCAACTAAAAATCCCTAGTTTTGGTGACGTATTATCGACCTGTCAGTTGTTTTCCGTCAAGTAGGCGTTTTACAGCTCTGACGCCCCTTTTTCTCACTAAGCCGGGCTTATTTCAGGTAAAAACCCCCATTTTGATGTTTATTTATACGTTTTTATTGTCACCAAATCAACTGTTGTTGTTTTTTATTGCAATTTTGAGTTTAAACTGGGTGAGTGTTCCGATTATCGATTGTTTTTAGGTGCTGTCAAAATGACGGATTCCAAGTATTTTACAACGACTAAAAAGGGCGAAATTTTTGAATTAAAATCAGAATTGAACAATGACAAGAAAGAGAAGAAGAAGGAGGCCGTCAAGAAGGTAAATGTGGTCAAATTAGTCACTTGTATATTTCGAGGTTATGTTTAGGTGATCGCCTCCATGACCGTGGGTAAAGACGTCTCGGCTCTCTTCCCCGACGTTGTCAATTGCATGCAAACCGACAACCTCGAATTGAAAAAACTCGTCTACTTGTATTTGATGAATTATGCGAAATCCCAGCCGGACATGGCCATAATGGCCGTAAACACATTCGTAAAGGTATGTAAAAACCCCCGCCGTTGTCTTTGATGAGTTTGCTTATATCGCAACACTCTCTCAATTGTATTTTTACTGCAAGGATTTGCCTACATCACAGCTAGTCAAGGTAAATTCAGTTCTACTTCTCGTAGTTCCGTTAATTCGAAACGATCGCGGTATTATAACACACTGCAATTTCTCTTTTTGTCAAGGATTGCGAGGACCCCAATCCGCTAATCCGGGCATTGGCCGTGCGTACAATGGGCTGCATCCGCGTCGAGAAAATCACCGAGTATTTGTGCGAGCCGTTGAGGAAGTGTCTCAAGGACGAGGATCCCTACGTGAGGAAAACAGCAGCGGTGTGTGTGGCTAAACTGTATGACATTTCCTCAGGTAAATTGAAACATTAAGGGGGCCCAAATAACGTCATTTCTAGGTCTAGTCGAAGATCAGGGATTCTTGGAACAGTTGAAGGAGTTGTTGAGCGACTCCAACCCCATGGTAGTGGCCAACGCTGTGGCCGCCTTGTCGGAAATCAACGAGAGTAGTCCAACAGGGCAGCCACTTGTTGGTAATAAAACTAACTAAATTTTCACTCCTTATTTTCTGAACTATTTCAGAGCTCAACCACGCGACTATTAATAAACTCCTCACGGCGTTGAATGAGTGCACGGAATGGGGCCAAGTCTTCATCCTAGATTCACTCTCCAACTACAACCCCAAAGATGAACGCGAGGCTCAAAGCATCTGCGAACGAATCACCCCACGTCTTGCACACGCAAACGCTGCTGTTGTCCTCTCAGCCGTTAAAGTTTTAATGAAAATGATGGAAATTCTAGCCGGCGATACGGAATTTTGTGCTACTTTGAGTAAAAAACTCGCGCCACCTTTAGTCACCCTCTTGTCGTCCGAACCAGAAGTACAATATGTCGCTCTACGTAACATCAATCTCATCGTTCAGAAAAAACCCGACATTCTCAAACACGAAATGAAAGTCTTTTTTGTAAAATACAACGATCCGATTTATGTAAAGTTGGAGAAATTGGATATAATGATTCGATTAGCGTCGCAAGCAAATATCGCACAAGTTTTGAGTGAATTAAAAGAGTACGCCACTGAAGTCGATGTTGATTTTGTCCGGAAAGCAGTCAGGGCGATTGGACGTTGTGCCATTAAAGTGGAGCCTTCTGCTGAACGATGTGTTTCAACACTCTTGGATCTGATCCAAACTAAAGTTAATTACGTGGTACAGGAAGCCATTGTTGTTATCAAAGATATCTTCCGTAAATATCCGAATAAATACGAGAGTATTATCAGTACGCTTTGTGAAAATTTGGACACTTTGGATGAGCCAGAAGCAAGGGCTAGCATGGTTTGGATCATTGGTAAGTTTAGTGAGTTATCGTTCCCTACTTTACCGACATTCTAGGTGAATACGCTGAACGTATTGACAACGCTGATGAGCTACTTGACTCGTTCCTTGAAGGTTTTGCCGACGAAAATGCTCAAGTCCAATTACAACTTCTCACAGCGGTTGTCAAACTTTTCTTGAAACGTCCAGCTCACACTCAAGCCCTAGTCCAACATGTCTTAAGTCTTGCAACTCAAGATTCCGATAATCCCGATTTGAGAGACCGTGGTTTTATCTATTGGAGATTATTAAGTACCGATCCTGCAGCCGCTAAGGAGGTGGTTTTGGCTGATAAACCCCTCATTTCGGAAGAAACCGACTTACTTGAACCTACACTCCTTGACGAGCTTATTTGTCACATCTCATCCCTTGCAAGTGTTTACCACAAACCACCCACAGCTTTCGTTGAGGGACGCAGCGCCGGTATTCGTAAAACCCTCCCGGCGAGACAAGGCTCCGCCGATGATACTACCACCACACAAGAAGCCACAGTTATACCCAATCAAGAGTCACTAATCGGTGATTTATTATCAATGGATATTGGTAGCACTGTCGCACAACCACAACCAGCAGCACCACCCACTAGTAACGTTGATTTACTCGGTGGAGGTTTAGATGTTTTGGTGAGTTGACTTGTTTAGTCTGCGGTCGGTTTTACGTGGGTTTATAGTTAGGAGGCGGTCCTACCGATTTGGGCGTGGCACCATCAACCACCGGCTTATTGGGCGACATTTTCGGCTTAACCACCGCCCCTACTATGTACACACCGCCCAAATCCTGTTGGTTACCAGCCGATAAGGGCAAAGGCTTGGAAATAATGGGGACATTTTCACGACGTTCGGGACAAATCACCATGGATTTGAGTTGTACAAATAAGGCGATGCAAGCAATGAGTGGTTTTGCTATTCAATTCAATAAGAACAGTTTTGGGGTGGCTCCAGCCGCCCCCATGAATCTTGGTACTCTCCAACCAGGTCAAACCCTCGAATATAACCTCCCATTGAACACTAACGGTCCCGTTCAACGTATGGAGCCCCTCACTACGTTACAAGTCGCGATTAAAAACAACGTCGATGTGTTTTACTACGCGTGTCAAATACCGATTCAAGTCCTATTTATTGAAGACGGCACTTTGGATAAACGCGTTTTTTTGACCACTTGGCGTGATATACCGTCAGCTAACGAAGTTCAATATACTTTAAATGACCTCAAAGGTAACGCTGATGCGATTTCGGCCAAAATGACGCATAACAATATTTTCACAATCGCAAAACGTAACGTTGAAGGTCAAGATATGTTGTATCAATCTCTGAAATTAACCAATAATATTTGGGTCTTGTTGGAATTGAAACTACAACCAGGGGTTAATCATGCAACATTGAGTCTCAAATCGAGATCGGTCGAAGTGGCACCGTTTGTTTTTCAAGCCTATGACGCGATTATTAAGAATACATAAGTTAGATAAGCGTGAGGTTTTGTCATTCCATGTTAACACTATTAAACACGATTATGTTATAGGATATTAATTAAATATATGATATGTAACGAAATGTGTGTGGAGAAACCCCAAGCCGGTCCTGTGTTTCCCCCAAAGGTAGGTTTTTTATTATTTTGAAAATTACAAACTTTTATTTTAATTTACTAAGTCGGCTGCCTCTTTCAATGCCTCAAAAACCTTCCCCAACTTGTTTTCATCGTCCATCAGGGACACATTCAAATTAATGACCAATTCGTTTTCATTGCGTATAAAATGCACGCCTTTGTCCCTGCAAAACTCGTGCATTAATTGTGCCTTCCATTTCGTCGCTAATTTGACGAGTTTAAAGGGGGCTTCAGGGTGACTCGCCACCTCAAACTCGCACTCTTCCAAAAACCGATGAAACTTGACCGCCAACCGTGCAAACTTGACCGGTTTATCCCCCATCAACTCCAATCCTTTGAGCACAACCTCAACCAAATAGGTCGGAAGTGAAGCCGAGAAAATGTACCCCGAACCAGCCACTTGCTGTTGACTGATTATTGAAAACGATCCGGCACAGAACCCCCCAATTGACCCCAAAGCCCGCTCAAAAGTACCCATAATCATATCGATTCGACTAGGCTCGATTCGGTAATACTCGGTTAAGCCACGACCAGTCGCCCCAAAAACCCCCAACGTGTAGCTCTCTTCAAGAAAAACGCGTATTTTGAAGCGTTCGGCGACTTGTAGGAACGCCGGGAGGGGGCACAGTTTCCCCGTATTCCAGGAAACCCCCTCAATGATGAGAAATTTATGACAGTTGGTCACACTGCATGCCTTTTGGTGAAAATCACACGGATCGTTGTGGGAAAATTTTATGATGCGACTTCGAGCCGCTTTCAGGCCTTGCCAAATGGGAACATTGGTGAATTCGTCGACGAAAACCACGTCGGTTTGTTTGCAACAAGCGGCAACAGCGCTGGAAATCGTCACAAAACCATACGAGTAGATGATTGACTCCTCCATGTGGAGGAAACGAGCGAGACGTTCCTCCAATTCAAGGTGAATTTCAGTCGTGCCTGAAATTTTTTCAGTACACTGAATCACTGAATTTTTTACCTACCGTAAAACGCCCGAGGACCGCAAGTTCCAACACCAAATTCTTTGATTGTCTTTTCGGAAATTTTCTTAATTTCTTCGCTATTCAAAAGGTTTAAATAATTAGCTTTCGCTAAGTCGATGTTTTTCTCGTCTTCGATCACCATGTGGAGCTCTAAGGGTTCGTCTTGGGGGCCAATTGGGGTGATTAAAGGCTCAGGGTTAAAGTCTCGAAGGCGTTGCTCGAATAGAACCTCGTCGAACATCTTGAAACTATAAAATTTTACTACTTTGCAATAGTAGAATCGGTATTTACCGCACTTAAGTTGACGACAGACTAGTTAGTAGTAGCGAAACAGGCCAGTACCCTAATAATAAATAAACATATCGCAATTTCTATTGGTTAGTGCGAAATGCGACTAGCAAGACGTGTTTTTATTTTTTCTGAAGGTCTATGATGATAATAATGTTTATTAGTGTCACAGTAGAAAAGGTACTTTACATACGTCATAATACAATAAACAGAGATTGACATATAATAGTAAGTAGAGAAAAAAATACAAAGAAAGAAGTAAATAGATTTTAGTGACTAATTGCCCATATCACTGAAATCTTGCTCTAAATATTCTTTGAAAGTGAAAATTTTTTATTAAATAATTTTTAATTTCATTTAAAATACAAAACCGGGTTTATTCCGAACATTGTTAGGCAGTACCTTGTAAAATTTTATACAGTAGTAAGTAAATCCAAACCTAGATTTGCTTAAACAGTAAAGTATTAAATAAATAAATCTAAATGCTTTATAAAATATTCAAGACATCAAATACAGGGCGATTCAGATAAGATAATGAGCCTGACGATCAGGCGATGCAACCCAAAAAACAAATTTCATTTTTATCTTTGATCCAATTTAAATTAGGATTTGCAAGTTGAATCCAAGTTATCATCTTATGATGTCACTCTACACTAGCGCAGGGAACGATCATTAGTGCGATTCATTCTCGCAGAATGATAAAGAAATTACTAATTAGTCTTTTCGGTGTAAATTCAATACAAAATGTATGAAAGAATGAAACATTAAAGGTAAGTAAACAGTTTTTTTATAAATCATAAATTGCTTGTCAAAGCACTGTCAGAGATAACTTGGATTGCAAATGTAAATCGTAATTATTAAAATTAGATCAAGTCGTAAATGAAATTTGTTTTTTGGGTTGCATCGCGAGAACGTCAGGCTTATTATCTTACCTGAATCACCCTGTATATAAACAAGGAAAAGTTAAGATGTTGAGTTGAAACCATTTTTTTGCAATCTTCCCGATATCATAAACCTGCTATAATTCTAATCGCTCTATTTCTAACAATTGGGGGGGAGATAGAGAGTTACTTAATGTACGTAATAAGTAAATATTTTTACTTACTTGCTATGTAATGGGATATGAAAATTTATGGTAGGTTTAATAAAAACTCTTAATAAAAACAATCATATAATCTTTAAAAACGCAATAAATTAGTTTAAATTAAGTCGGCAGCCCCCTTCAGGGCTTCAAAGACCTTTCTTAGCCGGGCCTCATCGTCCATCAAGCCCAAACTCAAATTGAGCATCAACCCATTTTCGTTGTGTATAAAATGCACCCCTTTCCCCCTACAATACTCATGAACTCTCTTTTCGTTTGATTTCGGTGTCAGTGTGACGAGTTTAAAGGGGGCTTCCGGATGACTCGACACATCAAACCCACACTCTTCGGTCAAAAACCGATGAAACTTGACCGCTAACCGTGCAAATTTCTTTGGTTTATCACCAATCAAATCAAGGGATTTTAGTACAACCTTGACCAGATATGTGGGAAGCGAAGCCGAGAAGATGTACCCAGAGCCAGAGAGCCTCTGATGCTCGATTGTCATATTCGAACCGGCGCAAAACCCCCCAATGGACCCAATCGCCCCCTCGAGTGTCCCAATAATCATGTCGATTCTACTCGGCTCGATTCGGTAATACTCGGTTAAGCCACGACCAGTGGCCCCATAAATCCCCAAAGTGTAGCTCTCTTCGAGGAAAATGCGCATTTTGAACTCTTCAGCGACTTGAATGAAGGCCGGAAGGGGGCACAGTTTGCCCGTCGTCCATGAAACCCCTTCAATGATGAGGAATTTGCGCGATTTACGCTTCTCCGTGTTGGTAACACTGAGGACTTTTTTCCGGAAATCGTCAGGATCGTTGTGGGTGAAGGTAACAACGCGACTACGAGCAGCCGTCAGGCCTTGATGTATGGGAAAATTTGCGTGTTCGTCGATGAAAATCACGTCGTTTTTCTTACAATAGGCAGCAATGGAACTGGAAATTGCGACAAAACCGTACGAATAAACAATTGATTCTTCCATTTGGAGGAATTTAGCGAGGGATTGCTCCAAATCAAGATGGACGTCAGTGGTGCCTGAAAATTACTTTTACCAATTGTGTAAACAATTTTTTAACGTACCATAGAAGGCACGGGGGCCACATGTACCAACCCCATACTCTCGGATAAGGTCCTCTGAAGCTTTCTTGATTTCTTCGTTATTCAAAAGATCCAAATAATTGACTTTGGCTAAATCAACATTATTTTCATCTTCTTTCACCATGGGGATTTCCAGAGGGACCTCTTTTGACTCAATTGGGGTTATTAAAGGATCAGGGTTAAAGCTTTTGAGGCGTTGTTCAAATAAAACTTCGTCAAACATCTTGAAACTATAAAAATTTTATTACTTCAATAAAATCGAAAAAATTAAGGCCAAATAATTGATTGTTACAAAGTACCCAAAATGGGGCAGTTTAGAGATAGTTTAAACGGCAATAAAATAACATACTTACGTTTTTTTATCACAAGTTTTAATAAACCTCGAGGTTATTTTTATGAATTCAATTTTTTAGTTGATAAAAGTAGGCGTACGTAACCACCTGACATTTGCTGCCAACACCGCAACTAGAAAATCCCCAAGAACATAAACAAAACTTTATTATAGCAAATATTTAACAAATTAAATCGGGGACGAGGCTACAACATCCTCGCTCCCTATTGTATTCACACTCGCCTCTTCCAATTCTTCGGGTGCAGGGTTAAAAAACTGCTCAGTTTCGCGAAATTTCCGATTAAACTCATTATTATTCAATTCACAGGCTCTCAAACGATTCAAATTTGCGTTTTGTTGATTGGTGAAGTGTTTATGGAGCCCCAATTCGCATATGTTGTCTCGGACACTTTCCTTGCACAATTCCAACCCAGTTTTCACCACTCCGATGAAATTTTGCACAGAATCGGAGTTTGGCATCATAATGGCATTATTGTTGTCTTGTAACTGCTCTTCGTTGATTGTGTTTGTTGAAACCTTGCGGAAAAGCTCGTTCATTGTTTGGATGCACGAAAGTTGGGTTTGGGCCAATTCCATTGCAGGCTTTAGGGCACTAACACAGGGAGCCTTGTTTGATTTGAGAAATTCGGCCCTTAACTTCTCTAATTCCTCAAAACAAGAGTCAAACTCGGAATCAGACATTTTTGATTTTTTGCGGTTTGAAATTTCAAATCGTTTGAGGTTATGTCATAATCACAAGGCTACCAACAAAAAGATATTAAAAAAATAGACACTTATTTTGTGGTTTTGAGGATATTATTGACTAAATACGATACTATTTTTGTGTTTAACTTATTTCTTTTTGTAGTTATTGATTTTTGCCGGGTTTGTGTTTTCTATTTTCAGTTAAAATTAGCATTTTGCGGGAGATTTAAATCGGTGTAGATGGCGCGTCAATCGGTGGCGTTTGACAGGTGTCGAGGTCGGTGAAAGCACAAAAAAGTCATTTTATTCGTTTTTTCGTGTGTCCTAATTCGAAACTCATGTCCCCGTGTTAATTTAGTGGATTTTAATCAAATTCGTAACAGGACAGACCCCCCTAACTTCTGTTTTTTAATCACTAACTAAATGGCGCCATAAGGTGTTGTTTGTACACATCCGTTTCTTTAAATCGTCAGTTTTCGTGTTTTATTCAATTTAAAGGTCAGTCTTTTTGAGATTTTAGTTAAGGTGTTAATTTTTGTGGTTGTGTAGATGGACCAGACTCCCCCTGAGGATCTAAAGCCGACTTTTAGGCTTAGGCACGCATCAACCCCCTTAACCCATTTAACTCGTAAACGCAAACATGATGATACATTTGAATCTCCGAAAACCCCCAAATTTTCAAGTACCTTAAACGAGTCGCTAATCACAGACTTAAAAGAGATTCGGTTGGCCAATTCAGTTCCTAGTACTCCAGAGAAACAGTTGAGTTTTTTGGGGGCCAAAACTGTAGTCTCGTCACCGATTCAAGAATCTAGGAAGCTTCTGTACAGTAGTCTCAAAGAGGTTAAACCGGAACGTGATAGAAAATTTGGGTTGAAAGCTAATAAATATGTTCCTGTCACTAATAAGAAGTTGTTGCAAAGTATCCTCAATATCAACGTTATTATGGACGTAATTTTTCGGTACTTATCAGGGGGCGATTTGTACAGGTTTAGTCTGGTGTCACAATCGTTTTACAAAGCCTTGGAAGCAAACAAAGATGCGTTTTTACGGTACCAAGTCTACAAAGAGAGTTACAAAGACAATAAGGAGAATTACGTGATAACCCCACCGGGATCACCGGACAAGCCCGACAGCCCCCCGAGGACCAACAGCGAAAGGTTCAACAAGTTCCTCAGGGCCGCCCGCAGCCTCACCGGTTCCCAAACCTTGATGAAATGTGTCCGATGCGAGGGGGTTGCCGTCGTCGACAACCAAATCAGTCAATGCCAAAACCTGAACTCGTGTGGCCTCATCTCCTGTCTTCTGTGCTCAAGTTACTCCGAAACGGGTTATAAAGACTTTAAAGACTCCTGTGGTCATGCCTCGTTGCGGCCCACATTGGGCGATATGAGCAACACAATGGAAGATTCCTTTTCAAATTTTTCGACTCAAGACTCAGGTTTTTATTCGGAGAATGAAACACCGCCAAAGGTGAGACGGAATCTCTTCCAGACTGTTAATAGAGAAATGCCCAAACCTTTGTCACTCTACAACAACAACAAAGTCGTCGTGACTTACAAGAGGAAAGATTCTATTTCGTACATTCCAGTCGTGACCAATGAACCTGTCCAGAAACAGGTGGAGTGTGATAGCCCCCCGAGGCGTGGATATGCAATGAGTTCCAAGCAAATCAAGAAGAATCTGAAGAGACTAACGCGTTAGCATCACGTTACAGATTATGTGATAAGTTTCGTACTTTTAAAGACATTTGTTTTTGTGTTTATTATTCTCTAACATTTCCAGTGTTAATTATTAAGTGTAAGCATTTTTCATAAAGTTTCAATTTTTTAAAGTGACTTTTATTCCGCTGGGTTGGTAGCCATCCGAAAAATTACAACTTGTGCTCTCTTACCCATTTATTTGCAATTGATAACGGGTTTCAGGGGGCTAGATAAAATTATTAAAATTGGATTTTGGTTTGCTTGGAGGGGTTGGTAGCACTGCGCATGCGCCGTTTTGCAGGCCCGAGCGCGTGCAGAATTTTGAATCAGAGCACAATTCGAGATGCACTTGTTACTGTGTAGTGACGGTGCTAGCCTTGTGCAAGTGTAGAATAAAACATTTTGTGTCTTTTCCTTGTGTTTGATTTTCTTTGAGTGGGCCCCAGTTGTGGCTAACAATCTCGAATCGTGGTTGCCATGGTGATCATATTTGACAGTTACCTTTGTTGATTTATTGACAGATGCATTAATTTTTTTCCCTGTTAAGTTTTTTTTACACGTTCCAAAGTGTTTATTTGAATGAATGTTTCTGGTATTTGAAGAGGTTTTCTCAAAGGTAAGTCACGAAATGTTGTACATTGGATTATTTTCGTTTTTCATGTTGCCAACCGTTACGTCACGAAATGGTGCATTTTCATTGGTCGACGCCATTTTATCGATGGCTCCGTTTTGTAGTGAAAACGACTTTAGTTTTTAATAATTTCTGTGTTCATTTCTCTAAATTCACTCATGATTCTTCATAAATTTACGGTGTTGTTGCCACAAGTAAGTTTGCATGCTTTCTTTATGTAGTTTTCAGCGGTTTTTTCATACAAACTATTCAGCCAGTGGTGCAGTCCCACTGCGGTATTTTTTTACCTGGATTTTATTTACATTATCGGGTCATGATTTCTCGCGCTAACGTCGACTGAATTAAACTTGATTTAAATCGTGGTTTAGGGCAGGGGTTCGAGCCTCGGGGGAATTTTCAGCAAGAAGTTTGCCCGATTTCGGGGCCATCTTGCCAGCCTCTCTCATCCCACTGCGGGAACCCCCTTGATAATTTCACTTTCATTCAAATTTTTTGCGTATTTGTGCTTTTTTGCAATTTTCGTGAAAATTTTCGATGTAGGTCATTTCCTAGGGACTTTTTTGTTTTCCCACTAAAACCAAACGAAAAAGTTTTTGTTTGTATTTATTGTCAAATTGGCGATAAACACATCATTGTTTTGGTTTTTACCCATTTTCGCATAGTTCCACCCCTTAGAACGGTAAAAATCTAATTATTGTTGTGAAAAATGCGTTGGTTGTAAGCCAAGACCTAACCTAAAATTTCTCGGGGGCCCTTAGGTAGTTTTCCTCAGTGAGTTCGCTTGGTAATCAGTTAAAATGTCGGCCAACGCTCAAACCAACGGCAAGAAGAGCTCAAACAGTTCAACCGTGAACACCCCAGCCAGCACTCCGGTGACAAATGGCAATTCGCAAACCATCTCCCAGAGCACCCCTCCGCCTCCGAACAACAACGCCCCCAAATACGGCACCCTTGTCCCTAACCGAATCTTTGTCGGCGGCATCTCCGCCAACACCACCGAAGGCGAACTTTTGCAACTATTTAGCAGTTACGGCACTGTAAAAGCGGCCAAAATCATCCAAGATAGAGCCGGCGTCTCCAAAGGTTACGGTTTCATAACATTCGAAAGCGAAGACGATGCTAAACGTCCCCTGAAAGACGCCGATAATATCGTCCTCAAGGAAAGAAAGTTAAACATTGCCCCAGCCATCAAGAAACAAGTAAGAGATCGATGTAAAAGTGACAAAAATTGTAATTTTTTCCGTTTTACAGCCGTTCAACAGGGCCTTTGACGCTGCCAGTCCGTCAACTGTCGCACCAGGGAACACGGCACAGTACTTTTTCCCACCCAGTGCCGGGGTGCCCTATTTTCAAGGGGGCGTCACTTATTATCAACAGCCGCCGACAGCCCCGGGGGATCCCAACTCGCAGACCACCGTCTATCAGGGTAACCGCAAACATTGACATTGAATAATAATGTTTATTTATGAGCCGGTGACTATAAACTTTTTATTTGCTTTGATAACATTTTTTCGTGCAAAATTCAAGTAAAAATGGACGAGACCCGAATGAACTTTAAAATTATGAACGTTATTATGTTTTCCAAGAATTGCATTATCGCGGCTTGTTTTAACGATCCAAGAACTGCTATTCATGGTGGTATTTTTCAATGAACAGATATGGAAGTAAATTTTCTTTGTTTTTATAACGAATTGAATAATTGAAAAAAAAATTGAATGAAAAGTAAATTCTAAGAAAGCTTCGAGCTTTAAATGAGTTTTCTTTGTGTGTTTATATTTTGTCGTAACTTGATCGGCACGTGTTTAGGTTTATTATTTTATTTTCTCAAATTGCTAAATGTTTACGTTACAATAGTATTTCGGAGAATGGAAAAAGAGAGCCGGTTTATGTTTGAAAATTTAAATAATCATTTGGAAAATTTAATATTTAAAATGATTATCGTCTTGTGCTACATTATTAAACTTGACTTTCTGCAACCCAATTAGTATATTCGTAATTTGAAACGTGCTAAGTTTATGTTTACATTCTTCCAGTATTTAAAATTGTCGTCGCTTCAATGTTTTATCAAGAATCGACCAAACATTTTTCAAGTGTTTGTTTATTGAACACTAGATCTCAAATTACGTGCTCGAAGCGTTTTATTTAATTTTTGTCTTTTTTTTCTTACAGCTCCTCCCGTATATCCGGCTCAAACCGGACAACCGCAAGCCCCAACTTACCCACCGATGATGTTCCCTCCTCACATTTACATGCCACAGCAGTACGCCATGCCACCGATGCCGGTAAGTATAGATGAAAAACAAACCGTGCAGTTGCGATTTTTCTAGTGTTAAGAGAAAAAAAATGTGGTTTCGCTACGACACAATCGAATAAAATCATAATTGTTATTGTTCGTGTATAAATAGTGTATATGTTCAGTCCAGCAACTACATATCGGAAGGGCTGTATCCAGTCACCCAGCCTGCCTACGTGTTGCTGGACGGCCTGCAGTACTGAGGGCTCCCCACGTCTCTCCCCGCCCCTTTCTTAAGGTCTCTGATCGCACGCCGAAACGTCTGTATTTTTCATTTTTGCACGAGGCCTTGTTGTTTGTTTATGTTGGTTTTTATTTCGTTATTTTATTTATTTCGCTTATGATTTTGTTGAGCATGCGTGGCGAAATTTTATTATCATTACATAGACCAGTCATTTTGCTCTTGTGTAAAGCATTTTACTTAAATGGTTGGTCTATTTTTCACATTTTGAATAAATTTTGAATTAGAGAGGTTTCACTGCATTGATTGTTTTTTTTTTGTTGATTAGTACGAGTACAACTACTACCCTAACAACGGAGGAGCCCAATATTTGGTCGGCGGTCAGAATGGCGGTCCCGGAAACGGATCAGGCGGAAACTCTCAGGGCGGTCCTCCAATGCCGCCATCGAACAGCCCCCCACGACCGCCTTGTTACAACGCCCAATTACCACCCTATACACCGGACCCAGTATACTACAACATGCCAGTATACGGGGGTCCGGTCGAGGGCACAGCCGTCTATCCCGAAGGTTTGGACATGTCCAACGGCGTTTATCCTGAGGTTAGTCAGATATTAGGCGAGTTTTTGCACGGATTTGACGGCACGGATGTGCAGGGCCCCTACCCTGTGGCCGACTCCACCCAAGACATAAACGACACCGCCTCTGTCACACCTATCGTCGACCACGCCCCATTATACGAACATGAAACGAACGACGCCGATAACAGCCGACAAAGTAAAACGCCGGTCGTGTCGCTGCTGTCGATGGAACAACATCAAGAGAAAGATTTCGTTTCGATGCAAGGCGGACGACGCGTTAAACCTCAACCACTCCCACCACCACCACAACAACAACAACAACCAATTGTAATACCGCACTTTGCTCAGAATCAAGCCCCGCCACCTATGTATTACAATTTCAACGGACCGCCCGTACGATCTCAAATCCCGTCTTACAACAACAATAATAATAAAACGGCGAACGGTTATCGTAAACCGCGCACTTTTAACTCCGCCTCCAATACCGCCGCGACGCGAAAATACGATTTGAATCGAACCAATGATAATTCGTCGAGGTCGAGTCTTCGGACCGATTCGAATTCGTCGGCGAATGCCGTCGTTGATGAAAATAAAAACGAGGAGAAACAATCAACGAATAGTTTTCACATGTATAACCCATGTTCGAGGACGTATCAGAATTCGCTAGGACGACGTATGAACAACAAGAAGGATATGTTGGACAACAACAACAAACCTAAAAGTAATTTTGTTGTTCAATCACAGCAACAACAGCTGAGGAATAACGGCCAGCAGAGTTATGTGATGACGACAGCGGCAGCTGCGACGGCGTCTGCAGCGTCGGTGGTGAGGAGGAATAAAAGATCGACGCGTCGGAACGTCGGTCAATCGGGAGGATCGCTGAGCGAGATCGGCGCCGGTGACGCCCCACTAGCCAACAACGATGTTACAGATACCTGTAAAAAAATGGAAACACTGAAAATGTGATTAAAACGAGGTTTGTTGTTGACACTTAAGAAAGGGATAATTTATTTATTAAAAAAAATGTTTGCTTGTATATAAAAAACACAAAAAAATAATAATAAAAATGCAATATTATTTAAATAATCGACAATATTGTTATTAATACAAAAGTGAGATGAAGCCCGTTTAGCATTGGACTTTATTATTATTCCTAGATTAGGTTCTTTTGTAGATAAAAGAAGAGAGAAAAAACTAAGTCCTACACATATTTTTAACAAGTAATTGTTATTTAATGTCTAAGGATGTGTATAAATTAGTTTAGTTTTGATTATTTTCTAAACTCGATGACTTATTCGCAACAATCGTATATTTAGTCGAGGGGAAAATGTGTCCTATTTTGAATTCAGAAGGTGTTGTTTGGTCGTCGGGACTGAACAAGTTTATGCCTTATTTCCTCTCAACTATACGTTCTATAGGTTAGTTTTTGATATTGTTTTTTCCCCCTTCGAAAACAGTCTTTACAATTGACTTTAAAATCAAAGTGAGATTTTTGCTCAAAAAGGCTGCCATCGGTTTTTAGTCCAAATCGAGTGAATCTATCGGCTCTCTAAAAACATATTTGCGTTGTATTTCTTTCCCTTGATATTCTGTTTTGTTGTTTGTTAGTCTCGGAATATTTCAATTTTAGGCTGTGACGTTAAATTGTTAAATTTGTAGTTATTTCATCGAAATTCAAAATTTTTTACGGGACAGATTGTTAAAAATCAAAAACTTACACAAAATGTTTCAAAAGAGCCTAAAATTTGTTATAACTAAATGATTTTTTTCCAAAGAAAGTATTTTAAGATTAGTCGTAAGGATTGTAGCAATGTAAGATAGTAATTTATTAAGTAGTGTAGATATTTAGGTGTCATAGTTCATAAAAAATCGAGAATTTTTTGGCCAAAACTAATTACACTATTTAGTTGATTAAGATTGTCGTCATAAATTGTTTGTGTTTACCGTTTTGGGTAAGCAAACCAAGTCGTCTTATTCAAAGTATATTAACAAAGTACCTGTCTTAAATCTATGCTAAAAAGAAACAAACAAAACATTTGTAAATACCTACTATTTAGTTGATATACTTGTTGATGTTTGGAAATTTTATCGATAAAAGCGTTTTCGTTGCATTATTGGCCAACGTAGCTTTTAATTTTAAAAAATAGGTTTAGGGAAGATCACCCATTGCCCCCCTCACAAAAACAAGAGCAATATGTAAACTCTGTCAATTTTAGTTTGTATATAATAATCAAAAAACAAGTAAAAAGAAATGCTCTAAAAACGGTTGTGCATAAAAATTGTAGTCGTAAAGTATTTAGCTGTAGTTTAAATACACGATTGATCGGCGGCTTTCAATACGCCGAATACAACAAAAATACAAACTGAAATGTGAGCTATGATAAGCCAAATTTTTGTGATAGCGGCGAAAAATGTGTTTTTAAAATTCAAATTTTCCCAATGGAAAATTCAAATTTTAAAACACAAATTTCCGACTTAAAATGTGTGTTCAACAACTTGAAATCTTGTAGGCATTAATTAGACTTGCTTCGGGAGGCTTGCGGCCTCGTTTCAATAGTTATATTAAACAAAACAAAAACGGAAAAAATTCAAATATAGCATTATGAAACTATAAATGTAAAATAAAACGCAATATTTTAGAAACTATATAACTTAAGAAAACAGTGAGAAATATTTATTAATTACAATAACATTATAATTAATTAACTATTACATAAGTATGTACAAAGTATCTCAGATAATAAATTTAAATTTAAGAAGAGTCGGGTTTTTGATTGGAACGAACCCTTCTCTGTATTGGCAGCAGTGCGTCACCAAAAAAGTCACTAAAACAGTGGTCGTATTTGCGAAATGGCTGCCGTTTTAGATTATTTTTCAATAGGAAGTACAGTGTGGTGCAGGACATGTTATAACACAGAAATCGAAGGGGAGGTGATGGCATTTGACCCCCAAGTCAAAATACTTATATTGAGTATCCTTTTCACACTGAAACTTTCACCACTCCCAATTAGGTTAAGTCGCCCCCCAAGTCATGTTTTTCCTTAATTGCGTCTAGAATGCGCTTCGTCGAGCGGTGATTCAAAATTAAACGATGTTCATTTCGTCAATCTTTCGTTGGTTAGTGAGTTACAGGTGAAAAAAGAAGTCACTTCATTACCCGAAGTGCCACAATCGTTAAATCTGCAAAGGGTGAGTGTTAAAGAGGGTTGAGAGTAGTTTTAATTGAGTGTTTTGCAGCTAAATACACGAGTGCGGAATCAGGTCGACAAAAAACGCCGAATTTTACAAGCAATTTCTGCAAATGTATCAGTAGAAGGCCAGAGTTTATTTATAGCAATCGCCAAAACAATAAAAGAAGTGAGGTGGAGGAATTCGGAAATTGTCGTCTGGAATCAGGAAGTGATCATCAGTCCACCCTACCAACTGGAAAATATCAGAGGCGACACCAAAAGCAAAGAGTATAATTATATAAAGAAAGTCGTGGAGAAACATATGAAGGACCTAGCAATGAATTCGCAAAACACCACGCAGGTTCAAAACACACAACAATAAAACCAGCCCTTAACTTATTTTAGTTCAATTTCAACATAGTATTCTCGGACGATTCCGTTTTTATTATTTCTCTCAACTCTCTCAAATCGTAGACGATTCCGATTCTTTATTTTGTTTTGTTTATCAATTTTATTATTGGTGTATTAAATATTTTTCTTAAGGAAACAATAAAATTGTACAAAAACCCAACAGGGACTTTGCTTCCCCCCATCTAGTGATTTTTATGTTGGCAATGCGGAATAAATGCGTTTGATTTGGTGGCATTTTCCGACGCTTCTTTCTCCTGTTTTTAAACGCTTTTATTGTGAAAAATTCCACGATTGTGAAAAATTCTCCACTAATTAACCGCAAGTACGGCAAAATCGTCGAATTAATATATCGGTGAAAAGCAGTGACGCCATTTTCGCCATCTGTCAAATGTGAGCAAGGTCCGTCTGTCAAATAATTAATTTAGAAGTAAACAAAAATAATTGTGAAATTTCGTGGCATTTACACGTTGGTGTGACAATTTCGATGATTTCCACAAAGTCGGAGAGTTATTTCGGCGCGGGACAACCAGTTGGGGCTTTTTAGGTCACCGCCACCAATATGGGCAAATTATGGCGAACCCCCAGTACCATCATGTAAGGAGGTTTATGGGATAGCTTGGGACGATGCACCGAGCGAAAAAACCACAAATCACCGATTTGAACCAACACCTGACTTGTAAACTATGCAAGGGTTATTTCATCGATGCCACCACAATTATCGAATGTTTGCACTCTTGTAAGTAAAGACACATTTTGTGTCCCCGTTCTAAATCCTTTTATAGTTTGCAGAAGTTGCATCGTTAAGTATTTGGAAACGAATAAATACTGTCCAGTGTGCGATGTGCAAGTACACAAATCGAAGCCACTACTTAATATCAGATACGACAAAACTCTACAAGACATCGTCTACAAACTGGTTCCAAGATTGTTTCAGAGTAAGGGGGCGCACGTGGGGTTATGTCGTACTAATTGCGTGTTTCAGATGAGGTCCAACGACGACGGGACTTCTACCAAACACATCCAGAGGCGAAACCCAATCTAGAGAAAATCCTTGAGAATTATCAACACATTATCAGTCCCGAGGAGTCGATTTCGTTAACGATGTGCTATTACGGGTGTAAAGAATCGTCGCGTTATTTACGTTGTCCGGCTGCTGTTACAATCGGTCATTTACAAAAACTAATTCGGGCCAAATACGGCCTGTTTGATAATCACCATGTAGATATTTTGTACAATCAAGATTGCCTTAACTCAACGTTGACTCTCATCGACGTGTCTTATATTTATTCATGGAAGAGAAAAACCCCCCTGGAATTAACCTACCGAATTTACGAATACACACCGAAAAGAACGGAAGTGAAAGAGGAAGAGACAAGCGAACAAACAAACAACAACAACAACTGGAAAGAAGTCCAATTGAGGATAAGTGAAAACGGCGAAATGTCAATCATCCAAGATGAAGCTTCTGAACTTGTAAATAATAACAATTACAAACCTGAAATCGTAACAGTCGTCGATAAAAAGTTACCTGAACTTAATCTAATCGGTGAAAACAGTGCAGCATCGACTTGTGTCACATTCAGTTCATCTACGACAACAAAAACCGTTTTTAGTACAATTAATTCGACTAAATGCAGTGTATCGTGTGATAGTGAACCACCACCAATCGAAAAAACCCTTAAACGGAAAGCGGATACGCCCCCTGAACCACCCAAAAAACAAACGATACTAAACCACTCAATCGGTATACAAAACCTCTCCAATAATCACCCCCTCAAGAAACATTCACAAATCAATAAGGACGATAGTGTTTTTACTAAACCGAAAAGTGTGACCTTGAGTCGACCGGGAACACCAAAACCTTGCTACATGCCGAAACCGGTTATAACCGTCCCGAAACCAAGCACGAGTATGGGAGGCGTGACTAAACCACCAGTTAAAACCGCTCCGATACCCCTTCCACCGCCTCCTCAACCAACCAAATTGATCAAAACAAAACCGAGCACTCCAATTGGCTACAAGACGCTTCGTGATCCGCCCAAAAGCTGGAATTCGCAAATAGCCAAAGCCAACATAACTAAACCAATCACCGATCCGAAGAATATAAAACCAGCGAAATTTTTCAAAAGACGAAATAACCTTCCTCGTTATTTGGGAAACCCGGCGTCCGGTGTCAAGCCCATGTATCCGGTCCAGCTCAGTCCCGAAAAGGAGAAACCTAGTGGCGAAATCAAGAAACACTCAATTGTGAAAATCGATCCAAAGACATTGAAACCGATATCGGAGAAGGCCCCCGAGACGACATCGTTGAGCAATTCGAGCGATTTGAAAATAAATACGAGTTCGGTGTCGATTTTTAATCCATTGAAGTTGCAAAATTCGCCGAAAGGGGAGCGCAAATCGCCGAAGAGTCCACTTTCGCCCAAGACGAGTAAAAGTGCGTCACCGACCACGAAACGAGATAAATTAAATTTGAATTTCACACCAAGTAATCCGTTTATACCGAATTTGACATCGCCTACGGTCAGTCCAAATCAGTTTTTGTATCCTGCAGGACCTCCGGGATTCCCCTCGTACGATCCGAGGGTGATGGCGGCATATCATAATCTCATTTACGGACAGAGAATGCCATTTCCGCCCGCGTTGACAATGGGCAAGTGTTTCGAGTTGGCGGGGCCGACGAGCCCCAAATTGGGAGGTATTCCACACAGTCCACAGGTGAGTGCATCATCACTCTGTTTATTTCTAGTTGTGATTTATCAGTTTCAGAAGATTCCGACCGAATTCAAGAAGAAGAAAGAGAGTGGAGGGAAAAGTGAGAAGAGTTTACAGAACGCTGTTGAAAAATTGACACAGAAACAAGCGAAAGTTGAGGAACAAAAGACGACGAATGGTGAGACCGAACCAGAGACGGCCGCGACGGTAAGTGCGGAAAAGGACGACGAGAAACGAAGTGCCTGATTTAGTTTTTTTCGGTGCCTTGATGCCGAGTTTCACTGTAGCTTAAAAAAAAGAGAGAAATTTTTAAAAACACCAATAGGAAGGATAATACTCTGCTTAAAATAGTGTAGAAATGGTTTTTACTTTACTTTATTGTGTGTGTGTTTGTAAACGGGTCGGTGTCGGATTGGCGTCCATATTTTGTAACGTTCTTTTAGTTGGGAAAAATTGGTGAAAATTTGCTTTCGGAAAATTTCGACGGCTGTGATGTTTTTTTTTGATCATTTATAAAATAAAATGTCGGTACAAAATATGGGCATGACTTGTTTATAGATACCTGGAATTTTATATTAATAATAGTTTAAGGACATTTTTAATATTTCAGTTACGAGAGAAAATTTGAAAGATTTTATTATTGTACATTGTAAATAATTGAGAGCACAGATGATTTAATAAAAAAATATTTATAGTTTTAAAACGTTTGCTTTCACAACGTGTCATAATCACTAGCCAGACTAAAATCGATCACTTCGTCACTTGTTAAAAATCGAACATCGCTTTGACTGTCACCGTTTGACGTTTGTTTCAAGCGTCGACAGTGACACAGTTGGTACCGCCGCGCCACAAATGCCATACCAACCACACCGAATAAAACACCAAAAACAACCCCAACACCGAAAACTATCGATTTCATATCACTTGTGACAATTTTATTATCGATCACTATTTTCTGATGGTCGTAACTCTTATCACTGTCCTCGTAGTCGGTTATTATTTCGCTTTCTTTCATTGGCGGAAAAGTCTCAGTCACTGTTTTAGTAGTAGCGGACGTAGTCGTAGAAGTACTAGTGACGGTGACTGTAGTAATTTCACTAGTTTCACTAGTGACACTTGTGGGCGTATCACTCAAACAGAAATCAAAGTAGTCGGGACAACATCGATTACGTTCGAAACACCCCTCATCACAGTCACAAGTGATCAACCAATCAGAAAAATGGGTGTCGTTAGTGTTGCATCGGTTTTCGCAAGACTCGACACTGATTGGCGTCCAAGTGCTTGGCTCCGCCCTGAAACGAATCGTAGTAAAGTGGGTGGGTGAGTAGGTGGGGCTTACGTCGTCGTTTCAGTTTCGATTTCATCATCGGGAGAACAATTGTGTATCACTCGTACGTCATCGATTGCTATGTCACTGACATAACTCCGCCCTCGTACCCCTTCTATCACTATCTGAAACATTTGAAAATCACATTGTGTCACTACTTTGACTAGACCTACTTGATAATCGGTATTAATTGAGCCAATTGTGATAAAACCGCGATACCAGCGATTTCCCTGGTTGCCAGATTTCTCCCAGAGTGATTTTTTGGGATCAAGTTGCCACGTCTCATTCACTTTTTTTAAGTAGATTCGCAGACTTCCGGTTGTAGACCCATACATGTGGTAATAAAACTCAAAACAGACATTTTCGTCGGTTTTGTCATAAACAGGCGAAATGAGCCGAGCTGTGTCGTTGATATTTCGCGCTGATGATTCTATATACATGTAGAAACCATCTTTACCGGCCCCTTTGGTGTGGTCATGTGACGGCCCGGTGCCTATAGACGCACTAGGCGTGGCGTAATTTAACCGCGTCCAATCAAAATCATGATTTAAGTCGTGGTTCCACCCACACAGGTCTTCCCATTCGAAATCACAGGACAGGGCGGGGCTTGAATTAGTCGCTGAAATTTGATTTGATGTTGTGATTAATGGGTGTAGCTTGAGGTGGCACTTACCTAAACATACTGGAAGTGGGTTATCCCAATGTAAACCATCACAGTATGCAATACTCGAGCCTCGTAGTTGAAAGTGACTCTTACAGAAAAAATTCAAAACGGCGCCCCCATGTGACGGATAGATGAATCCATTGACGGGGGGTTTGGCCGTTCGACAAGTGCCCCCTAGTGGATTTAATTACACAAATTTTGATTTTAATAAGTGACTTACTGACGCATTTTGGAAATGTGTTGTCCCACACGCCTTGCACGCACACTGTGTATCTATCACCGGCTAGTGTATACCCAGTGTTGCATAAAACACGCGCGATTTTGCCACGTTGGCGGTACCGGACACGTCCATTGGCGACTTTAATGAGGGGACAATCGCGATTGGGCGATTTCACGGTGGTGGTCACCTCGAAAAAGGCGAAGAGGAGGAAAAAACCACCGAACAATTGCATCTTTTAACAACGACTAACGATTCGAACTTGACCCTTATCAGTTCCTGGGGAAGTTGATTAGGGAAGGAAGTGATAATTGCGATCTGCATTTTAAGAAGTGATAAGGAAATGTGGGATGTTCGGAGGACAGGTGATTGGGTTTGAATTTCGCGCCACATTTGTGACGTAATTTGCGTAAGGTAGAGTCGGGCAAAAACTATATGTACACACCTGTGGTGGCGTACAGTTAAATGGTGTCCGTTATTTTAGCCCTGTGATAAGGAAGCGAATCTACATTCTACACGCCACTGATTTCTAAACTCCCCTCTTTTTTAAATAAAAAAGGCGTCCAGATGTGTGTACTTCTCATTTTTACCTCACTCTATGTAAGATTTTTTTTAATAATTGGAATTTTGTCGCAATTATAAACATTGTTACTGTAAAATACAGATATTTGAGGTGATTCTTAGCTGGGAGCTTGTATAAAAATGGAATTGGTATAAAATAACAATTTTGTTGTCATTTGTAATTTCATTATCAAGGCTACGCATGAAGGTAAGTTATATTTTATTTACAATTTTAACAAACTGGGTTACTAGAGTGCCTCCAGTTTGGCTGAATTTCCAAGTTTTGCTGAATGTGTGCCAATTTTAGGAGATGAAATTTGAAATTAGCGCTAGTTTGGAGTGGCCACCAGATGGCGCATCAAGGTGAGTCAAAAGTGTATTTATAAATTCGCTATTAATTTCTTGTGTTTATCGTTTGGTTTACGGTCGTTCCTTAGAAGGTTTCGCTTGTTTAGTTACGTGACAGTGTTTGTTATTAATTAGTTTAAGGAAAAACATCAAAAATGCCGGTTTTCCACACAAAAACAATCGAATCTATTTTGGAGCCCGTTGCACAACAGGTAAAAATAAAATTTATACAATTATTTGAACCCCAGTTGTGGGCGACACAATTCGTGATATTTTCACTTCCGGTGAGGCATTTCCTCTCCAGGAATCGCAGTGGGTGTTGCCTGGGAAACAATCGAATCGCGTCCAAAAATGTCAAATGTCAATTGTGATTTTTTCGAAATGGGAAATCCCATTTCTGGTTGAATTTCGTGGTGAAAGTGTTGTAGAATCACTGCGGTGTAGGTTTTAGTGACAGTTGTTTAGGTTAAAATTTGATCGGACCAAATAAGGTTATGTCGCCCATTGTTGGGGGTACGCCCACCTGTTTGACATTTGAATTTTTTTTTCCTAGGTTTCGAAACTTGTCATTTTGCACGAAGAAGCCGAAGATGGGATCCCTATGCCCGATTTGGAGCAACCCGTGCGGAGTGTCTCAAACGCGGTCTCGAATCTGGTCAAAGTCGGACGTGAGACAATCAACAGCTCCGATGACCCCATTTTGCGCCAGGACATGCCCGCGGCGCTGGTCCGCGTCGAACGCTCCTCGAAACTCCTGGAAGAGGCAAGCAGTATGCTTAAATCCGACCCTTACTCGTCCCCGGCCCGAAAACGGCTAATCGAGGGCAGTGGGGGCATTCTACAAGCCACTTCGGCCCTTCTCCTATGCTTCGACGAGTCAGAAGTGAGGAAAATCATAAGGGAGTGCCACCGGGTGCTTGACTACCTCGCCGTAGCCGAAGTTATCGAAACTTTGGACGAATTGGTGCAGTTTTTGCGCGACTTGAGCCCCTGTCTCAGTAAAGTCAGTCGCGAAGTGAGCGCTAGAGAGAAAGAATTGACCCATCAAGTCCACTCGGAGATTCTAGTCCGATGTCTGGACCAAGTCAAAACTCTAGCCCCAATTCTCATCTGCTCCATGAAAATCTACATTCAGATTGTGTCACAAGGGGGCAAACGCGTCGAAGAAGCCATCGAAAACCGCAATTATTTAGCCCAGAGAATGACCGATGAAATCAACGAAATTATCCGAGTTTTGCAACTAACGAGTTATGACGAGGAACAGTCCGATTTAGACAATTTAACAGTTTTAAAAAAGTTGCAGAACGCAATTCAGAATAAGATAAACACTGCCAATGACTGGCTTTTGGACCCCAATGCCGTACGTGGGGGTATTGGGGAGAAAAGTCTCCGACAGATTATTGAAGCGGCCCAAAAAGTAGCCGAGCGATGTCTTCCTCAAGACGCCCGCAATATTAACAAATTGTGTTCGGAGTTGAACACCATGACTGATGCCCTTTGTGAGTTGAGACAGGACGGGAAAGGGGCCACTCCACAAGCCGAGTCTTTGGCGCGTGGTATTAAAGAGAAGTTGGGGAATTTGCAACAAGCTGTGTTGAACGCTGTCGTGGCTGTGGATAAGGCAGGGTTGCAACAGACGGCACATACGGTTCAAGGGAGGTTGGAGCAGGCGAGGAAATGGTTGTCGAATCCAGGACATGACGATAAGGGCCTAGGGAAGAGGGCTATTGCGTTGATTGTCGAGGAAGGAAGGAAGGTGAGCGAAAATGAGCGATTATTTTTGGAAATTGGATAAATTTAGTTTTGGCGCGCTATGACTCATTTGAAAGGGAGTTTCCGAACGATAAAATTTGGTTAATGTTCCTGTTATGTAAATTTCATTGCAAATAATGTCACATTTAAATTTGTACTGTGAGAATAAGGCAAGGAAATCAATGAATAGTCAATTAGAGTACATTTTTCTTCCATATTTGTTTTGTTTACGAAAATATCTCTCGTGCCTAATTTATCAAAACAGTTTTAGTAAACATAAAATGTCTATTCATGTGTTTTACATTTATAAACAAACGTCAACTAGATGTATAATTATATCACTTGTTAGTCAGTTAATCATTTTGCCAGTGACTATTTTTAGATTTATGTGCGAATTTATAGATTTTAAGTGAGCAAACAACGTGAAACAATCAAAACATTATATTGACAAATTGAAAACAGATTTTTCGTGCACATACGTTTCTAATATCTACTGTTTTTAATAAATTAACATAATACAAAAAAGGATTGATCTAGATTATGCAGTAATTTTTTTTGTTGTCCGTTTGTTAATGTCAATGTAATTTATTAATTAACGAATTTCCACCGTTTTTCTTACATTTAACTCACAATAAATCGTATTGACAGCTGTCATTGAATTGAACTCAAAAATAGTGTCATGAAAAAAGAAAACTAAATTGGTTTTGATTTGGCATTAATTTAAAATTTTGTCGGCAGGTTAAAGAAAAAAATGTACTATTAAAGGCATTCATTTACTCGCTGTCGTTCGTTCATGCTTTAAACAGTATCGATTATTAATCGCTTTCATGAATGAATTAGTTTATTAAATAACTATTAAACCATTTTTTTATAAAAATGATTGTATCTTTTTTTTTCTAAAACTGTTTTATAAAATTCGAAACTTGGGGGTTTTCTGCATAACAGTCTTTTGAGAAAAATTTAAATTACGGATAATGTCTTATAAAATGTTGTTTAGTGCTATTCAGGAACGTAATTAGGCGTTTAATTTTTTTTAGTTAATAAATTTTCTTAAATTTGTTTTTTTTTATGTCTTAAGAAAATTATTAAGTAAAAAATTCAATGATTAAAGTACAGATTTGTCAACAAGAAATTATCACCTAGGATTTGAATTTTTAGGAAAATTACGTTTTTCATGTTGTTTGTAACTAGAATTTTCAGAAGTAATTTGCAATGTCTACGGTTGGTTACCCCTTGTTGTTGACGGTTAACGTTTTCTGTCAACCTGCTGTAAACTATTAAATTATGCATTCAAGCTGATAGGTGACATCCTAAATTTTTTTCACTAATTACGATATCTTTTATTTGTCTCCAAAAACAAACCTAACCGATTTATGGCACGAATATCCCTAAATCCTAGGTAGTAATTTCTTGTTGATACGATAATAGGTTTGGTTTTAAATTTCGTTTACGTTTTATCAATAATTAAATTTGATTTAAAAAAGTAGTAATGTTTTTTTTTTAGTAGTAACTTTTTATTGTTTAGCAATTTTCCAGCTTTGAAAAATATGTTGCATTTTTAGTTTTAATATAATATTTTACAAAAATAAAAAATATGAGTTCGAAAACAATTAAATAAAGGCATTTGGTCTTACTCAGATTGAGAAAAAAGCTGAACAAAGCAAAATCTTCACAAATTGGAAACTGAAGAACCTATGAACGTGCTTCATTTCGGCAATATTGCTTTCCAAGAAAAAAAATTGTAAAATCTATAAAAATTAAAATGAAAACGCCACAATATTGAAATATAAAGCAAAAACAACGAAACAAACCGAAATGCCACATTTACAGCTCGATTTTGCTACTTTCTCAATCATTTTATTTAAATATCTTAGAAGAATTGACATTTTTGCTGGAAAGTAAGCAATATTTTTGTAAAAACAATATTCTTATGAAACCAAATAAGCACATTTATAGCCTGATTTTGCGATTTTTTTACGTTATAAACAACCCAAATTGAATAAAACTTTTTTTTTACTTTTTTTGGGATTTTTGCATTTATTCAACAAACTTCTTTAAAATTAGATGAATTATTCTCGTTAGTTTCTAAATTTGGAGAAACGGAAATTAGGACAATTATTTTATTCTTACCCCCAAAACTGGTCTTTTTAAACTGAAAAAAAATCATTGATATTTATTCTTATTCACTGTCACATAGGAATAATCAAACTAGTTTTTAAATAAAAAAGAAATAAAACGTTCTTAGATGGAATTTCAAAAAAAGTTGAAAAAAGTCGGACTTTTCATATTGAAACGGATACACGAAATTGGTCATTTGTTGTTAAGTGCCCAGAACAAGAAAAAAAGATAAAATTGCAAGTATCGAAAATCAATCAAAATTTTGCCAGAATCGAAAAAAATTAAAAATTTTAAAATTGCTTCAAAACACCCAGAAAAGTGTTAAAACGTTGTAGAAATGGACGTAATAAATTTTTGAAAAGTTATGGATGTGCACATGTTCTTATGTAAAAGAAGAGAGAAAGAAAACGCACATGAGAGCAAATAAGAGAGCTAACCATAAGAAAGAGAAAGAGTATAAGAGCATAAAAAAGCAAAAAAGCTTTTTTATCGTCACCCCAAATTTTTTATTTTTCTAAGATAAATTCAAAAACTAACAATCAAAGTAAGTGTTAAAAGGTGTTACTACCTAAGTGCTATGAAACATGTGCACATGTTCTATCAAGTATAATTTTAATTGAATTTGTGAAGCACCTCCCACATGGAGATGTAATCTACTATTTTTCGTAAAGTTCTATATGATTTTTTTTGGTTTTGGAGAGGCTAGTCTTTTTTGTTTCTTTTTAATTCATTCTCGTTCAGAGTAGACTATAGGTTTGAAATTAAGTTGGCAACATTTAAGAGTTACTAAAATAGTACAAATGTTATGATGTAGAAACGAGACTCCATTTATATTATATATTATTGATATTTTCAGGTCGCTGATGGCCTCCCTGGGGTGCAAAAAGCGGAAATCTTGCAACTGTGCGACGAAGTCGACGCTCTTTCCAACCAACTCGCCAACTTGTGCGCCCAAGGCAAAGGCAACACCCCCGAAGCGCAAGAAATCGCTCGTAAACTCTCCCAAAAACTCCACGAATTAAAAGAACGCATCAATCAAGCAGTAGTAAATCGAGTAGTTGAAGATTTCATCGACATTGTCACCCCTTTGAAACAATTCACTGATGCTGTTCTAGCACCCGAAGGTACGCCCAATCGTGATCAGAATTTCGCCGACAAGGCTGCCAACCTACAACAATTTACCAACCGTGCCGTCAAAACCGCTCGAATGGTAGCAGCTGGCGGCAGTAGTGGTAATAAGAAACTCGCCGAAGCTTTACAAAGTGCCTCTAATCAAGTGGAGAGTTTAACACCGCAACTTGTCTCTGCGGGAAGTATTCGAATGAATTATCCGACAAGTAAGGCAGCAGATGAGCATTTTGAGAATTTGAGACAACAATATGCTGATACCGTGACGAAAATGAGGAATTTGTGCGATGAAGCGACCGATTCGGGTGATTTTATTAAAGCATCAGAGGAGCAGATGAGGAAACATACGTTTTTGTGTGAGGAGGCGATTAAAAATAGACAGCCACAGAAAATGGTAGATAATACATCGGCGATTGCGAGATTGGCCAATAGGGTGTTGTTGGTGGCGAAACAAGAGAGTGACAATTCGGAAGATCCGAGTTTTATCGATGATGTTAATCGGGCATCAGATGCCCTTCAAGGGTCAATACCACCGATGGTGCAAGATGCCAAGTCAGTGGCGGTTAATCCGGCAGATGGAGCCGCTGTATCCAGATGGAGGGACTCCAATAAAGCGGTAATTAAATTAAACTAGTCGGTTATGAAAAACAAAACAATTTATTGCAGTTATTGAATGCTGTGGGTGACGTCCGCAAAGCTGTGCAAATCAACCCTGAACTGCCCCCACTTCCGGATATAAACTCATTGAATCTTGGTAAGCCCCGCCCATTAACTCCGCCCACTGTATCATACCACGATCGTAAAATAGACAGGTCTGGAAACTCGTGTTTCAAAAGTGAATTAAAAAAATCTGGATCTCAGTAGGTTTTGAGGGCAACTATACCCGTGGTGCCTCTATCGGATACTACGTTAATTACTGCGTATTTATGAACGAAAAATGACGTCTCCGTGCGTAAATAATGTCAAATATTAAATTAGCGCTTGTCATAATTTGTTAGGTTACTGTGGGCTTGTCAAAATTGTTAAAAAATGTGCAAAAAACAACTTAATAAGCGCCACATACAGGGATATTTTTTTATTAGTATACATAGCCCTATGTATACTTTTAAAAAAACCGGGTCAACTTCAATGTTATTATGGCAATTACGATTAGCCCTTACTCTAGGCATAGGCAACCAATACTACAAAGGCTCTAATATCGATAAATAAAAGACAAACTTTTAAAAACAAAGTAAATGTAATTAAACATTAATTAAAAAAAAACTGAAACCTATTAAAACATAAAAAATATTTAATAATTAAAGGAAGTATTCAAAATGCTTTCCTTGCAGTTCCAAACAATAACTCAAGCGATTTTGAAAACGCAGCCACTGCATTCCTGATAAATTCAGGATCTATATTATTACATTCTCTACGAATACGTTCTTTCAGCTCTTCTAAATTTTGCATTTGACGACATTAGTATAAATTTTTATTTTTAAATACCCCCAAAGAAAAAAATCGTTAGGTGTCAAGTCTGGCGATCGTGGGGGCTATGCGATGGGACTATATCTCCCGATTCACTTCGGTGTACATGGGTATCATAAATGGTATTAACTTTTTAAAGCTACGCTTTAAGTTTCAAGACTGACACTTGAGAAACTTGACACAAAATTTTAGTTTTGAATATTTTAATATCTAGTACCCTCTAAAGCTTGAAATGTTGGTTGCCTTCCTTATGAAATTGACCCGGTTTTTTTAATTGTATACATAGGGCTATGTAATAAACAACAAAAAATAAAAAAATGTCCCTGTATAAAGTACAATATGTTTAATAAAAGTGGCAGGCAAGTGCCGTTTCATTTATTTAGTCCTCGAGGAGGTTTTTGGTTTGGTCTTACACTTGATGATAGGAAACATCCTTTACATTTTAAACAAATCTGCATCTTTTTTTTTGCTATCAAGTCAATCCATAGCATTTATTAAATAATAATAATAATAATAATAATGCAAGACCTAAAAAAAGACGTGGAAAAGAAAAGAAGTGTTATTGAAGAAATAAAACAACAAATAAATAATGTTATAGTAAGGAACTTTTATACATAAGTTATTTTTTATTTATCCAATTTTAACTAATAATGTAGAGATCAAGGTTGGTGCAAAATTTAGAATAGAAGGATTTTGTAAAGACAATCTTCCAAGATTTATAAAAATGGTGTTTTTTACTTGGTCAGAACCCACTTCGTGTACAGCAAGCTTTTTTGAATAATAAAGAAAACCACAGTCACAATAAAGACAATTTCAGGGTCTATTTTTGTGGTGAGCAGGCACTTTGTAAACAGAGTAAAGAAATAAATAATTTTTTTAAAAACTTGATACACTTGTGGACTCATTTATCTATAGGACTTTAAAGACACAATATTACTTCTTAGACTGATACAAATATGTCAAAACTCAAAACCCTAGTCGATTGAATGCTTCAATGTTGAATGTTTTAATGTTTTCTCTCTAATTTTGTATCTTTTTTCTCAAAATGTAATTGACAGCTTCTGTCTTTTCTTTGCAGTACAGTATTTAGAGTTTCATCCATGCCCCTCTGGTCCAATTTTTCTTTCACCCAATAAAAAACCAATTGTTTACTACTTCATTTAGTCGTGCAATGGAAAACAGCACAAATTCTGGCCATCTGCAGAAGTGTTTTTGTGTAAACAAGATATAAAAACCAAATATATTTACCTTTTTGATTGCCAAAAACATTGAACGACAAACATAAAACCAATTTTTTTTTTATATTTAATTTAGATAAAAAATCAAATTAAACAGAACGAAAGAAAACAAGATATTAACCAAGAAAACAGAAGTATAAATCAAAGAAAACCATCTTAAAACACTGAAAAACTGTGCACAAGCGGCAAAAATATTTAGAAACTTTGGAAATAGAGAAAAATTCGCTTTTTAAATTTGTGGTTAGCTGCCAAAATGCTGTCAAACAGTGAATTAATAAAATCACCACGTGAAGGCGCCACGGGTATAATTAAATAAATAATTCAATTTCAAACGTATTTATGAATGGAGTTTCCCGACCTGTCTATTTTACGATCGTGTATCATACTAAACTATTCATTCATTATTACAGAACCCGCCCCCAACAGTCTATTTATTGATAAAGGTATCGGTTTTGGTTTTAAAATTAATTTTCATTGTCACACTTTTTTTTTTTTCTTTCTTTTGGTGTATATAATTTGAACCGCTGTAGAATAACGGCTTTTCTTAAGGCTAAAATTTGTAGTTGGCGAACCGCTAAGAAACACACCGACACCCGGTCGTGATCCGGGGGCACTCAGTCCAACCCCTCATCAACACGGACGCGTCAGTCCATTACCGAAATGGGCAAGAGGTATCCGCAGTGACACTTTTTGCATTTTGCATTTTTTCTATTTATTTTCTTATCTAATTTCTTTTTTTCTTGATTGCGTCAGGGGATAATTCCGACTTGCTCTGTCAAGAACTTATCCCTAGCGTAGATCGTGAACCAGGTAAAAAAAAAATGGGGTTTCACGCATGCGCATGAATGTAGTTGGCTTTATGCTAGTCGATTGCTTTTCTTTGACTTTATTTTAACTAACCGTTTGTTTTCCATGCATCCAGGATATTGCAGTTTTATCCCGGAATATATTTTAGAAGACGGTAATAAATTGTCAATTTGGCTGGCATGTCTTTTGAACACAAATGAAGTAAACTAGAAATCTGATTGGTGTTTGTTTAGATATGGCTCCGCCCAGACCACCATTGCCTCATGATGGAGCACCAATGCGTCCGCCACCACCACCACCGGAAACCGATGATGAAGATGATGTATTTAGACACGCCCCTAGTTCCACCCAACCGATTATGGTCGCCGCCCATAATCTACATCGGGAGGTGCGTCAATGGTCGGCTAAAGACAACGAATTGATTGCTGCAGCTAAGAGAATGGCTGTTTTGATGGCCCATCTTTCTGAATTGGTTCATAATGATGATAAGGGTAGTAAACGTGAACTTATAGCAACGGCTAAAGCTATAGCTGATGCTAGTAATGACGTCACGAGAATTGCTAAACAATTGGCGAGGGAGTGTACGGATAAGAGGATTCGTACGAATTTGCTACAGGTGTGTGAGAGGATTCCCACTATTGCTACGCAATTGAAGATTTTGAGTACGGTGAAGGCCACCATGTTGGGAGCGCAAGGTGAGGATTTTTTTTTTTTCTTTTAAATTAGTTATTTATGTGGCTTTGTAAATAAATGCTTTTGAATTGCTAACGTAGAGAAAGGGAAACCAAAAAAGGGTAAATATCTATTCATTAACCCGTTTTTCATCTTATTTTTTATGTTAATTAAGGTTGATATTGGTTTTAGGTTCGGAGGAAGATCGCGAAGCAACGGAAATGTTGGAGGGTAACGCCCAGAATCTCATGCAAAGCGTAAAAGAGACAGTCCGAGCAGCAGAGAGTGCCAGCGTCAAGATTCACGCCCAGACCCATGGTAAATTGAGATGGGTACGAAGACAACCATGGTACGCCTATGCTTAGACAATTTACGAAAGAAAAAAATGTAAATTGGTTGTTTGATTTCAACGATATTGTGTTCATTTTATTTTTAATAAGTCTAACTAACGAAGATGTTACGAAACTGTAAAATTATGATTGGTTATTAATTCTCACAAACACAATAGAACACAATCAATCTCTATTTTGTGTCTATCTAGTGATAGGAAAACTTGCCTTAGTGGAATGTATCTATAATAGTTATTTTTCTATGCTTTATTATAAAAATATATACATACTATTATATAATAATAGGAATAATATTTATACACAAGTGCAATAGTGCCAAATTTTATGTTAAGTATAGCCATGTCTGTTATTATTTAAAAGTACAAATTCTTGAGGCAATATCCCATGGCTTGAACTTGTTGAAAATGTGCTTAAATTTATATTGCGCTAAATGTTTTTATTTAATATTATTAATTTTTTAACTATGTATTTTATTTGTACTTGGAATGAATTTTGTGTAACAAATTAATAAAAATTGTTTATACTTAAAATTTCTTTTTTTTTTTCGTCCAATAATCTGTGATATTTTTCAATTTATGGTATACCTCTTTACTCCTGAAATTTTCCTTAAAATATCAAAATTTTAAAAGTATCAGGAGTACCAGGATCGCAGAAATGCAACCTCTTGGCGGTTCTGTGACTGTGGTACTCCTGTTACTTTCTAATAAAATTTGAAATTTACAATAAAAATTGCAAAAGTTTCACTAAAAATCGCAAAATTTTATGAGTAGCAGGATCACAGAAATGCGAAGAGGTATTTTGGCGGGAAGTTTACAATTAAATTTGCAGCCAAAATATCTCTTCGGACTCCTACAATCCTGTTACCCTTGATACTTTTTCCATAAAATATGAAATTTAAAGATAAAAAAAAATTGCAAAATTTTAGCTAAAAACTGCAAAATTTTATAAGTAACAGGAGTACCAGGATCACAGAAATGCGAAGAGGAATTTTGTCGGGAAATTTAAAATTAATTTTCCCGCCAAAATACCTCTTTGCGGTTCTGTGATCCTGGTACTCCTGATACTTTCTAAATAAAATTTGAAATTTACGATAAAAATTGCAAAATTTTTGCTAAAAACTGAAAAAAGTAGCAGGTTTACAGAAATGCAAAGAGGTATTTTGGGGAAAAATTTAAAAGCTAAAAATTAAGATTTTTATAGATTACTGTATAATTGTGTTTGGAAATTAGATTTTTTCGTTTTAATTTTAAGATGATTTAATTTACAATTTATTTAAGGGAAAAAATAAAACTATTCCGGGAAACTTATATTTATTGTAATTTCTTACAACGTATCAAAACTGAAAAAAAAACATTTTCCCGGAATCCCGGTGATGTTTTTCTCAGCAGGTCCGTTTACTCGGGGAAAATACGGGCTGGAAGTCTCATGTTTAAATCTAGAGTCCCATTCTCCGATTATAGTATTTCTGGAATTCCATGTACCTACATCAAACGTGTCTTTTAAATGTTTTATTAAGTAATAAAACATAAGTACAATAATTTGCCACGGATACGATAAAACTTCTTGTTTCGAGTTAATTGATGATATCTTTGTGCATTCCTCTCCAGTTAAATGACTGAAGCTCTTTTTTGTTGTAACTGTCTTGCTTTTCTTAAGCTGAATTGAATACCAAAATATCCAAAAATAGATTTGTTGGAAAACTTCTGAGGCATCAGAAGCAACGCCAAATGGAAGTCTAGTCCCTTCTTCTGCGTGACGTAGGGTATTGTTAAAAAAAAATACATACAAATAAATATAAATTAAAACATCGTTTCCTCGAATAATATCAAAACATCCCACCGATAACCATCGCATTCAATTGAAAACCCATAATTTAATTCAAGTTAAAAACCATCCGAATAACATCATTTTAATACAAACATGTTTCAACACCCTTTACACGTATTTTTCTTCCTCCACTCACTATGCCACCATACACTCGGCTCATTCGTAAGTCACCAAACCACCCCTCATACAAACCAACCCCATTTTCTAGATGAAACACAAATACATGGTAGATGTGGAAAACGGCTATTTATGCCCCGACAACAACCAACTTGAAATCCCAATGCGAAAATACCGAATCGACCGTCTTAATCGCACCCATCGTGCCATCACAGCCGACTTTTCTTTAGCTAGACCCATCGACCAAAACACAGAAGGTACAGTGATCTTAGAACGATGGTCTGATGGTAACTGGATCAATATGCCGATTTTTCCCTACCAGAAAGACCCATGCAGAAATGTCATGGACAGTGGTTTCGACGAATTAGTCAAAATGGCCGTTGATTTCGGAAAAGCTCTAGGACTGAAAAATGTCGAAAAGTGCGACATTCCGCCCGGAAATTACACAATTAACAATTACGCAATTGACATAACTAATAGTGCCCCATTTTGGGCCGGAAGATTCCGAGCCATGATGCTACTAAGGGTCAGAGAGACGAAAAAGAAGATTTTTTGTGTTGGGTCGTTGCTTAATTTCGTTGAAATTTGAAAAATAAATTGCGAAAGAGTTATTAGGAAAATCCATTAAAATATAAAGTGTATAAATCCATTAGAATAGAAAATGTTTTCGTCCCAGCTTGACCTGTTTTGTATCTTTCTGATATTTTTGTCCCAAACAAATTGTGAAAAAATGTTCGAAAACCAAATTGTTACAAACATAAATCAGATCATTGACGTCCAAGAAGACACCAAATCTCTCGCCTTGAATTTACACAATCACAAAACATTAACAACTAAAATGTTCAATTTTTCGTACAGAGTTGAATTACTCAATATTCACGCCCCAAAGGTCGAAGAGATCGAAACTGAATTTCTTAAAAATTCAGATTTTCAATGGATTGGAATAACGATGACGCAAATAACAATAGTACGAAAACACACATTCGAAAATCTGCAAGTTTCACACATGATTTTGACTAATAACAACAAGCTGCAAACAATCGAAAATGATGCTTTTGTCGACTTATCTCTACTCAAAGAACTCGACTTAAGAGGTAACGCTTTAATTGAATTGAACCCCAAAAGTTTTACGCAATTACCCGCCTTAAATCAATTGAATTTAGAGAAAAATCAAATTCGTCAACTTTGTAAAAATTTATTTGAATTTATTCAAACAAATAATTCACAGGTTGATTTATCATATAATCAAATTGAAATTATTGATAAGGAAGTGTTTGGTGGGATGGCCGGGTTAAATGCGCATTTTACATTCACCAGTAATGAAATAAACACTTTGCCACCTGGTCTTTTCGACAATTTTGCAGTTTCAACTTTTGATTTGGATAATAACAAAATTGTGACAATTTCTGATGATTTCTTCAAAAAAGAGGCGCATTTGAATTTGTTATCGCTCACAAACAATCCCTTAGATTCAACGACTTTGGAAAAATTGATTAAATGGGCGAAAAAAAACCAATTTAGCTTGACTTTTACACCTTCAAACGCCACCAAATTCAATATTTCCACTTTTTTATTATCTTTCTACGTTTGTATTCAAATTTTTCGTAACTAGGTTGGTCAGACTGTGTTACACTGGCGGGAAATTTAAACTAGGTTGAGCTTTTTACCACGTTTGTAATAAAAATCCTTCACTATCAAATATTATTCATCAATTCACAATAAGAATTTTGCAATGAAAAATCTTTATAATTGTAGTAAAGTGATAAGTACCGTACGATCAAATAAAAAATAAAGTAGAGTAGGCGTTGTTTAAATTCTACAGTTGGCAACACATTGGCTAGGAATCTGGACTGGAAATTTTCCACACACACTGAAAGTGAAAATAACCATCCACCGTTTTCTTCTTGTACAGCAATAAAAAATTTCTACTCTAAAGTGAACATTATTTCACTCAAAAAGAATAAAACGCAAACTTGTCAAAGTTTCCGGTGACATTTGATGTCAAAAATCAGGATTGCCATCTGAAGGACTTTAATCACCGCCTACTCTAATTTATTTTTTTTTATCGCACCGTATTAATTTTTTTATATCAATTTGACCAACCTAACTGCACTTAACAAAAAATGTCTCTAGTCAAGAAGTCAGTTGACTTCCCAAACAATAAAATTTTCAGCAAATAATAAACAAAAACAACAAAACTTTATTTATTTTTATAACTAATAACATGGTAATAATTACTTAAATTAAATTTTACAACGCCACCCATGTTATTTCTATGTCAATGTGACCAACCTAACTGCACTTAACAAAAATGCCCCTAAATAATAAAATTTTCAACAAATTAAAACAAACACACGCGACGCATTATTTGTTTAACCAATAACCACATTACTTATCACGGGGGCAAACTTTCAAGGCCCCTCAAAACCAGTTTTTTTGTCAACCTGGCGCCATCTTGATCCATCCATCAAAACAAAGCAAATTAAAAGCGATTAAAATTCTGTGGTCGTCTGTGTCCAAATTCGGCCTCTCAATTCTTAAATCCGTCCGTTGAACGTTCGCCTCGCCTCGAAACCCCACAATGCGTCAATCGTTCAACCCCCATTTCAACTAACCTCAAAATGTCAACGCAATTCTCGCTGTCAAATCAGCGCCAACCTAAACGCTTCTCCATCGACGACGCCTTCGAAGAGGAGACGGACGAGGCGATCAAAGTGTATGGTGCGACGACGCCCACCGCCGGTTCGCCCCAAGTGGACGTCCGGGTAGATAACGGACGGTGAGTGCCCCCATAATGCATTTTTCGCTCTAATGGACACTTTTAGGGGCTATAAGCTGGCAAATGACACGTCTCGAGATAGCGACTCGCTCATTCAAGAATGCTATGACACCTCGAGTCAGGACTACATCGACAGGTCGTGTTTTCGGCACCCCAAAGTCAGGGAGAATTGGCGGATGGTGTTGGCGGCGGTCACGTTGTTGATTATTGGTGTGGGGCTCTTGACCACCGGGACGATTTCGTTGGCCGAGCCCAATTCAGGACTACAAGGTTCTGTGTTTTTATTGGCGGGGTTTATTTGTTTCGTGCCGGGGGCGTATCACGTCGTTTATATTTATTTAGCTGCTAAAGGGAAAAGGGGTTACCATTTCCATAATTTGCCCTTGTTCACGTAGGCTTTCGTGCACTTTTTTACACACAAGCATCACAATTCACTAATTGTAAGGTACAAAATAAGACTTATTTTAATACATTGGCATTTTCTGGAACTAATACCAAAGCTGGGCAATTTTTTTGACTGTCTCTAGAGTGAATCTCAGATTATTATTTTATGCGATAGTTTGTACGGTTTCATTTCTAATAATATATTGTATAGTATGGTGGTTTTTACTTTGATTTACAAATTATCCCAAAATAACCCACTGTTCTTTAATTATATTAAATTCGATATTACAAAAATGACGAAAAAATGTCACACAATATTGTAAACTACTAATCCTAGAACTTACCTCAACATAATCCCACTATTTTGTGACAAAAACATACATTAACTTGAAAAAGCAAAATTTTTTCTGATTTTGCACAATTCAAATTCCACCATCTTGGTGTTGCCAACAGAATTAGCAGAGCAAAATGTCCCTATATTATTTTTTTCTGTCATCACACTACTTTGAAAAAAAGCTCACAATTTCGCAACAAAACAATTAATGGGTAAAAATAAATTCCGCTTTCGTATAAACCAACCGATGTTGTAAAAATCCCGACACTTTTTCTGCCATACTAATAAATTTCATAAACAATACCTGAAAAACTACATTTTTAATCGCAAACTCTATGTTCATAAATTAATAAAATCAAAAATAGGTTTGTATTGTAACAATTATTCGAAAAAACGACTAATGCACCCTTGGAAGGAAAAAAAATCACACAATATTGTAAATTACTAATCCTAGAACTTACCTTTCAATATAATTCCACCGTTGCGTCCCAAAAATAAATACTAATTAAAAAAAAAATCTGACTTTTTGAACAATTCAAACTCCGCCATCTTATTGTGTCCAACTGAATTAGGAGCGATGAAATGTCCCTACATGTTTTTTTTTAGTCAAAAAATACAAAATTTCTTTACTGTGAAAAAAATAAACCTAAAATTTCGCAAAAAACGATGAGGGGTAAAAATAGGCCTTGATATAAAACAACCGATGTTGTGGAGGTAAAATTCCCTAGCCTAAACATTTCTTCGTTGTTCTAACAAATTTCAGAAAAAACACCTGCAAAATCGCACAATTTGTAATCGCGAAATCTATTTCTATAAATAAATAAAATAAGAAATAGATAACAATAAAAATTATTCGAAAAATCGACTTTGCCAACCTCGTAAAGAAAAAATCCCTAGACAATTGTAATTTTCAGTTAATGCAAAATTGTATCCACCGTAGGCACTTAAAAAACAACAAGGAACAAGGAAGTTGAGGCCGATTAAAAACTTCACTGATATTGTATTATATATTTAGCTGTTTTATTTCATATAATCAAATGAATATAAGGATAATATTAGTTTTTAATCATTTGAAGATTGTTGGCCAAGCACCCACAGAATTTTATAATAAAATAAAGCACATTTTAGTAGTACTCCTTTCGATTTTTTCTTGATAATTAGAATAACTTAATTGCATGGATCCTGATAAATAATAACCACAAAGAAAGTAAATCCTATTTAGCCAGCTTTTTCCATTTTGTATTATTGCACAATTGTGGAAACTCTCGTCACACTGTGTTACATAATGAGAAAATAAAAATGAAATCCAAATAAAAATTATATATTTAACGGATCCACACACCATCGACGTTGCGTTTTGACTTGTGTTTGTTTTGTTTTTTTTTTTTTTAAATTCAACGAATCTAACATTCTTGTTGTTTAGACGTTTGAGTCGCAGTTCGAAATCCGGGTGGACTTGATATTTGTGTATTTAATTCGCTAGTAAACCAACTTAGATTTTGTTGTTGTGTTGTTGTATTTAAATGTGATGAATAATTTGTATAATTTGGCTGTTGTTGTAACTGTTGTGTGAAATTTGAAAATGCGTTATTCGTAAATTCGTGGGATCTTAACGATCCATTCGGTATTTGTTGTGTACCTAACTGTTGTTGTAACGATCTGAAAGGATTATTTATCGGTCCCATTATAGGATAGTGACGACTGGTCGTTACTATTGCCGAATCGAAATCTTTCCAATCGTTACAGCTGTTTACATCTGCAAAAAATTCCATCATTTTTTAGTAATACCCAAATCGAGGAAGAACCACAAACAAAACTCACTTTTCTGCTGTTGTGGAGGTGGCTGCACTTGCGAATTATAACTAGGCCAGTTTTGTTGTGTTGATGAACTAATTTGTTGATTTGACATATTTAAAAATGGTAAAATTTTACTACCTGTAATTACGACAATTAATTAACGTAAAATTAGGGGAAATACCCACCGAATGAATTCATGTGTGTTGTTGGTTGAACAAAACCGGGTGGAGGTGGGGGTAAGTGACTTTTACTTTGACTGTGGACAACACCATTTACCCCTCCTCGAACTACAACAAAAACATTTTAGTTTTTTTCACTACCAACCCATAAAATCCAAAATTACCATTATTATGTGCCTTATAACTCTGTTCATTTGCTATCAGCTCGGCTAATGCCTTTTGTGTCTCCTGAAACGGATCAAAACCCAGATCGTCCTCCGAATGTGTCCGACTCTTTTGATGATGTTGTTGTTGTTGTTGTTGATATATCTGTCCTGGATACCCCCCTCCATATCCATTCTGTGCTACATCTCCATTCATATAACCACCATAACTTTGATTCTGTTTCAATGAGAGATTCACCAAATGTTCTTCGATCTTCTTCTGCTGCTGCAACACCACCAACCGATCCTGATTGATAAAATAATTATTGACTTGAAATCCATTCATATTATGATTCATCGTAAAACCGTTACTATCTTTCTGTCCGTTTTTCGCATGAAAATCCATAAAAAACTTAGACATGTGTTGATCCAAACCGGATTCTTTCCCGAAATAGTTCTCCGACGTGGTTGATGGGGGCTGTGGCGGTGGTGGTGGTTTACTATAACCGTTATTTTTGGCTGTTGTAATCGACGCTTCAATTAAATTACGAAAATCATCGGTGCGGAAGAACGAATCGATTGGTGATTGACTCGATTCGGAACAAATCGTTTCAGATGTTTTATTAAAACCGAATGCTGCGGCCCAATCTTCGGTTGTATTTATGTCGGGGAGAGAATCGGTTAAAAGAGAGGGCGATGTCTCACTAGGACTATCATCGTCACGACTTTCAGGGACAATTTTATGGAACGAATTGTTCGAAAAAAAACTCGAATTATCGTCCAATATCGATAATTTCTCCCCAGTGTCTTTCTTTATCTCCTCTTTCGGTAATTTCACTTCAGGCTTTTTCTCCTTCTTCTCTTTCGACTTTTCTTTACTTTTACCTTTGGAAACTTTCTCTTTACTTTCGGTCTTTTCCGGTTTTTTCTCTTTACCGTCTTTTTCCGCATTCAATTGTGGCCAATTCTCTTTATTTGTCCCATTTGCTGCCGCCGCCGCCACAGCTACCGTTTCTTTGCTTTTTGTCGTCGGTTTTGCCTCTGTTGTCGTGGTCGTACTTGTCACGTTCTGATTACTGTTCGTATTATTATTATTAGTCCGTTGTAATAGCGCTTCGTGTAGTTTCTTTTCGTATTCTTGATGTTTTCCTGCGTGCATCTGTTCTTTCGTAAAACTAGCTTCAGGATCTCCTTTAAATCGAAAAAAAAGAAGAGTACTATTCAAGTGAACTGTGACAAACACAACTCACCGAAATCATGGAGGTACATACAGTCCGGTTTTGGACATGGTTGATTTTTCATAAAATGACTGCAGTATTTCGTTGTTCCTAAACTGGATTTTACAAGACGACCGTCAATTGTTATGTTGTTGACACTCTCGATGGCCCGTAAAGCGTCGTCGCTTTTCATGTACGTCACGTAGGCACCTAAAACAACAACACGATCTCAGAAGCATGAATTTATTGTACATCAGATAAAAAAAAAATAACAAAAGATTAAAACGATAATCTCGTGTTTTGCAATTAAGAATAAAAAATGTATTGTAATTGAAAATGCTATAAATAAACTACGTGACTAAATAAGAATTGAAACGAAATGAAGATTAAATTCCAAAGTCAAATTAATAACAAAGAAAATGAATCTCAAACTGATTATGTATTATTAAAAATTAAAATTTTCACGCCAACTTGGCCAACAAATTTTTATTCCAAGAAGTACGCACAATGTTGCCAACTTATTATGAAACCACGTGCCTTATCAACCATTGCTTAATTACTAAAAAAATTTCTCATGACAAGAATTCAAAAAAATGTGAAACTTACATGCAAATTTCGTACGATTTTAGCATATTTTGTAATAAAAAATCCAAATTATTGTTACAAGCACTGTTTCGGAACGAAAATTTAAAAAGTATCTATTCACCCATGGTTTCAAATCATTTACATAATTGTATCATATTGTTTATTTCTCCACAAAATTAAAAACAATTTTTCTATGTTGGTAACAATTGAGATCCTCAATTTTTAACCACAATTTTTATATTTCGTTTCAAATTAATTAAAATGAATTAGACAGTTGTCACTAGGCTGACTTACTTAAACTTTTGATAAAATTGGCAGCACTGAATTATAAATGACAATT